GACCACAATTCGAATTCTTGGGAACAGACATTTTTATTTCTCTTGGCAAACATATGCGTCAAATAAAGATCATTAAAAGTGATTCATCTTTGGAGACCCCGTGATCTGGCGCCCAATTTCATCGAAGGTCTAGACGTTGTAATTAGCGGTAGAATTGAGACATTGTCTCTGGGTAATTATGATATTATAATCATTGCGCCCATTAAGGTAACAGACACATGAATACGTTTTTGATTAACACTCAAACACATCTAGGAATGTTACTGGACCCGAGTGTATGACCGGTATCGGTATCGGTTGCGGGGGATCATATGATCCAGTAAAAATCATCCTGTGGTCATAATCCGGCGCTTCAGTTTCGCAGAACCATGAAAGTTTAACTCGAGTTGTTCAAACACTATTCTGTTTGTCTGCAGACTCAAACTGTATTGTGTAAACCATCCATTAACCATTTCTTGGTTGCTTTACTTCTAGCTACGTCAAACATACGGGTATACTTTCTTGCCCGGCAGTTTAGGAACAGACCCAGTTGCACCAGTTTAATCAGAAAAGTGCATGACAGTGTTAGTTTTTGTATGTAGATATCTGAGTGACATTTGCGCCAATACATATCTATATATAGGGATTGCCTAGCGTGTTGTGATGGAAATGCTGTACTGATGGACTTAAGCCATGATGGTGAACGACCGCTTGCAAAATCAATTTCTTCTAGAACCTCTTTCTAAGTCTCTGTTGCGCATTTTCAGAATGGATTCATTTTAGTTTGACTGAAAATATGTCAGTAACAGTGGTGCTGCGATCCTCTGATTGTGGATTCGAAATATTTTTCGAATCGCCCTGATTACCATGATTGGACTGTCAGCACCATATCCGACCTCATGGCGTGCACCGGACTGATGGACGTCCCATCCACACGTATCGAGTCTGGAACAGACAATTCAGTGATCAACAGCATGAACATGGATCTACACAACTGGGATACGATGACATGTGTCAACCCAGTCTGCGAACCTGACCACCTGATCCCGTTAGTCGTAGTAGGCGGTGATGTTTTATTGGAAAGACTCAGTTATGCTTGGGCTGAAAGCCTGCTGAATACCATCGCTTAATTCAACCTTTTTTTATAATGCCAAACACGTATTTTGATGATTTGGCTCAGAGGTTGAACTATCAGAACGAAAGACAGATCACTCCGAATCCACTAAACATGCTGGGAGATTGAGTCTGGCTGAGTTAAAATCAAATCTACCGTGGACCTTGCTCACTCCGATGCCAATAAAGATTATCTGTTAAATCTGTCTGTCAAGTTGCCCAAAATATTTTTCATCGTTGTAGCCATGGCATCCTTGTCAGATTTTCTTCCAATACATTCCTAGGGCCGTATCTGAGGATGATCAATGCGTCAATGGTTCATTGGAATGAATAAGGTGACCACCAACGTCGTGACGTCGAACAAAATAACCTCCATCTGACACATTGACCTGATGACCAAGTATCACTGATAGTATATTGAGCGAGTATGCAGGTAATAAATACAATACCAAGCAGAGTTACGGGTATGTTTTGAAGCAAACACAAAACCAGGCAACATATCTACGGGAACATCAGTGAATGAGCTAGTTTGGATTTACGCCGTTTTTAGCAATATTCCAGCTATATCACGGCGGGGGACACCAGAAATGGGCTTCACACATTGTACCCACGTGGGGAATCGAACCCGGGTCTTAGGCGTGACGAGTGGACGCTTGAACATGCAGGCTACCCCACCACCTCTACGGGAACATCAAAGTAACTAAGAATGCTCAGCTGATGAAAATGGAGGAAACTGGCTACATGATGTCTAGATTAGGGTATGATTTCTTGTAAACAGTTGTGGGTGTCGGAGTTCCAGGAGATAGCCAAGAAGATTATCGGAGATCAGGGAGATCTGCAACTATTACCTCAGATGAAATATAAGATGCGAATATGGGTGATAGACGACATGTCACACAGCCAGTGAAGTATGCATGACAGAGTTGCAGACATTCTGAGGAATTAATTGGATATCACGAAGGTTTCAGCACGCTGGCTCCATGGCTTCTGACTCCTGATCAGAAACGCTCCAGATTCACGATCTCCCGTGAATATTTACTTCGTTTGGAAGCAGCACTACCAGCCAGAGACATGAAACATCTAACATTTCCTCAGGAAAAGAAATAAAAAAGTCCCACTGGTACCCTATCTTGAGAAAGACCATTAATGTTATGCTGATGTGCGTCTGCAACTGCATGAGAATAGCCAAAGCTCGTGAAAATCCATCAACCCAGTCCATCGTAGTTGGATTCAGGACTTCTCAGCCATCCCTCATATAAGGTAATACTATGAGAAAGGTAACGACCAACTGATTCTTCCAACCACTACAGTCAATCTGCCAGGACAGAATCGGGCAATCCTTTACCTTTTGAGTCCTGTAGAATGTAGGCCAATGATGGATAAAGGTATCAACAATTAAGGCAGACTGACTACCAAAGAACTCACACACTATTACAAGCATGAGGAACTGAGGGCCTATTGTCACTTCTCCCAGTACAGGGAAGATGTGCTCTACCAGCAAGCCTTCAAAGACATGAATGAACGAAAACCTGACATCTGGACCCCCACACATTCTTATCAAGAAACCAGAGGAAGATGCCCTCTCAATAGCACCATCCATCCCTCCTAAGTAGTCCAGATGCCCATCTCCCCATCTGTCCAGCCTCACTTGTGATTAAGTCCATCCTCCTCAGTTGTTCCATGAACCCTCACCAGTCCTTAATCCATCATATTCAGGTATACATTTGATTGCTACCCAAGTCAACCTTCCAAGTTATACGTTCAAAAACCACACTTGTTAGCCTGGAAGTCTACCCTTCCAGGTTATAAATGCACTATCCAAAATCATCAGTCAAGTCTGTCCTGCCGAGTGGTACCTGCTGTATCTATCCTGCTGTAAGTCTGCCCTCACAAGTCATACAAGCAATATTCAAGTTCACGGGCCCCAGCCACTGTCAATAACCAGCTTAGTACCATCTAAAATTTATATTTAGCCACTGCAGACAATTTTACTCCCCAAACCTCCAAACTAATGCTGACAATAAACATATGTTTCCATGCTTCCCAGCTCAGTCAGGGCATCCACACCATTGGAACACTACAGTTCAATAAAACCTACACCCATCTCATTCTAAACAATGGGCTTGTACTTAATCTGCCTCCACATGAAAGTGCCGAATTCAAAATTCTAAAGAATTGTTAACACATGGATTTGACTGCCCAATTTGGTGCTCTGAAATCAATAAAAGACAAAAGCTCTTTATGCAAATTGGATTTATTCCAGTTGAAATTGAAAAGTACCAAGCACTGGTCATGAATATTGTACACAATACAAAAGTCAGTTTTACAAACAATGTATAGTTGACAGCAGATTAACACAGAGCTATTCTACTGCCCACACAGCAAGATGACCCAATATGCATATTCATATGACCCTTGACCTAGCAAGCCACGTCACTGACCCAAAGGGTCAGACAATGTGGGCATCTTCACTGATGGGAAACATACTGCACCGTGGAAGTGCTATCTCATGGAAGTGAAATTGTTCAACTTGTCGTAATGCATAGCATATTCAAAACTAATTTGAACTGTTCATTCAAATTCAAGTATTGTTTACAAAGGCAAGGTAACTTGTTAACATACCGCGAAAGCATATGGCTTAAATGACAGAATCTGGTTTGTTTCTCATCATACTCCTGTGTAATACTGAGGTGATTACTTACCAGGAAGTAACATAACATATATCAGGAAATAAAATACTGACTGTAAACATAATCATACTGTAATTCACCAAGTATGACGGGAAAAAATCCAAATTTCAAGGTAAGAAAAAAAAAGATATATTATCTGAACAGCCTTGAAAATTTTGGACAGAAAAGAAACCAGCTTTGGGGGCAAAAGGGAAATTCTGATTACATTTCTTACTTTCTCTTCTGAACTCCTAGGTGAAACATTCAAATCACTAACACTTCTAGAAATAGTACCAAGAGAAACAAACCATTTTCTTTCCCGATTAACATAATCTTCAGTGGAATTGGCTTACCTAGTGTGAAACTCCATCACCAATTGTTACCATATATTGCACTAGCGGCTGATAGGTATTTTGTGTCATACAAAATATGTACATTCACCTTATTCTCATATACAAGCTTTGTGTATTGCTGGCTGTGCAATCTTAGTCAACCATTAATATGTACCACCTAAGAAATCATAACAAAAGCATAGCTTTTAACACTGACAATTTTTGGATGATGAATAACTCTAAATCTTTCAAAAAGTAATTGTGAAAATTATCGTAATGTCAGGACAATATACTGAAATAATTTTACATATTGGTTTTAAAGAAATGCAGTATAATGCCAGTTATTAATACATGTATATGATGTTCATATATGGTGTTGACCGCTGTTTGGAACATTTCACTTACACAATCATACTATTCCAACATTATCAACTCGACTTTTAAACAGTGTTTGATGTCTAAACAATTGTATGTTGTCTTCTAAATAACCAGTGTACAGAATTAACAATGTAATAAAACTTCAATAAATACTGACGTAATGGTGGGAAAGAAATAAAACATTACGCATCAAAGTTAAAATAGAGATGATAAAATTACCAACGACAAATTGAAAAAACTCTAAGGTTTTAACATGTCCATTACATCCAGATGAACTTCCTGATTCCATGAACATAATTACCCATGCTTCTCTTGAGTATACAGAAAGGATATCATGGGCCTTTTTGTACCATAGTCTACTGTCTGCATTATTTATCCAATAGTTAAAAACATACTCCTATAATTAATCAAATCAAAAAACTTGTTACTGACATAATTAACGAACAAAAACGATGCACAACATGAAATGATGCAATCATTAGTACCTGACACAGATAAAGTTTTATACATTACAAGTTGTCAATAGCAGTACGTCCAAATATAACCTAAACATGTCTATATACACACTCTATGAGATTCTAGCATGCACACACACACACACATCAAGCGTTCATTTCATTCACATTGAGAAGTACAAGATTTCCATCATATTTCACATGTAGGGCATACTGAGTGGAAAAAAACACTTTGCTTTCATCAAATATGGCAAATTTGAAAGATAGTGAAAGAAATCAAGGAATTATTAACTTGAAATATTCTTCTAATCAGTTTGACGCTGTGTGAATCAATATTTTGAATCATGTTTGAATTGAGCTCCTATGTACAGTGGTTTAAAACATTCAGCCTGCATCTCAGCTAGTAAATCTTGTAACATCCAAACTGAGGCTTGTATTCAAGAAACAAAGATACAATTACTACACAACACTGAATAGATTATGTTGAAATCTTTTCTTTTTAAAAAAATATGTTAACATTCTACACAGCATTTTGTGAATTGGTAGACTGTCTATACAATAAATTAATAGTAACTGCCCAATGGGAGCTTCTCTTAATATGGCATTGAAATCAAAGTATTTAAAATTAAGCAAACTCCAGAATAACTGATTATGTGATGTGATGTCTGAATTTTCATGAATTTATTTTCAACTCATTTGCATCGAATGCAAAAACCTCTGTTAATTACACCCACTCAAAGGGAGGTAACTGTTCCTTAACATGAACATCACAAGATTCTAGAATTGCAATGGAACGGAGAGGAGGCATGAGGAAATGAAAACAAAATACTGCGGATTTCAGCTTACAAACACTGAAAGCTAATGGAACAAATAATAGCATGGGACTACTCGGGAATGTACAACGGAACACAAACTTTGCATGTGCAAAATCATCTAGCTTATAATATGTAAAAAGCAATACATACTGAAGTAAAGTTTTATGATTAAAAAAAATGAAATGTTGTGACTTTGTTATTAACAAATTGGCTGAAAAATTATGACAATATAGAAAGATGTGTGTAATCATAAATTTCTGATTTGTAAACTTTCAGGAACTAAATAATAAATGTAATTAAAGAATACTAAGGGCAATGAAATTTGCAAGAAAATTCTCCATCACATAAATATGTCAAAAAGCTAAGTATTATTTTGTCAACTAAACCTATTAGTCATCTGCCATAACAAAAGGAAATATTTTCATTTACCATGGTCGCCTGGTAGAAGCATTCTCACTCTCTATCAATCACCCATAGCATCTATATACATTGGCATGTATGCACAAACTTTTTACAAACTAAATAAAACAACGATTAATCACATTATGAAACAAGAAACTTGGAAAAAAACATGCTGGCTTGCAAAAAAAACAACATTCTAAACAAATACAAAAAAATTGGTTACTGTTGAGCATAACGTTGGCTTAATGGCGTATAGTTTGGAATAAGCAAGACGGTGGAAAACTGGCCATGTTTTTTCTCCTTTTTACAGCTTGACCATTAAGGTCAAGTATTAGAAATCAGTCGTCCATAGTCTAGATCTATGTATATGTATATATGGTACAGATAGCATTAACTGTATATCTCACTCCGGAGGTGTAGCACCCTGTCAAGATTAATGGATCAATGTTTGTGTGTAGTGTGCTTCAACTGACTGCAGACTATGATTCTTTGATGAATATAATAGATATGAATCTGATACAGTGATGTTTGAAATCAACAGTGATGTTTGGGTTTGCTGGCAATCTTCCATGATAGATCTACAGACCCATTAATCTTTAATTGTAAACTTCTTCTGGCAAAGACCCCTTAACTTGCAGTGTTGATCTCTGACACTGTCTCTGTGCCTGCTGACTGATTACAAACGTAGGTTTATATGCATCAGCATTATTTGAATGCCCCATATTGAATATATAAGCATGGAAAACTGAAAAACCCTGTTCATGACATAAAAGCAGTACTGTAAGTTGTGTTAACGTTTTTAAAATAACACGGACATATACATGGAAAGATAATCATGAATGTGTGTGGTTTGGCGGACTGGAACGAAGCTAAGAATGCCACCCATCCTCAAACCCAAGTAATATGTTGAACATGTTGCAGCACACCAACTCTTGGATGTGGATTCACATAGCCTTGTACAGACTGAATCAGAATCAAGTACCCCTTTCATCAAACTGTCTCCACCCAGCTACAGAACTGTAAGGGAAGGGCATGAGGACAATCCCAGCCACCCATTATCAACCATTGGAGAATATATTTCTAAGAAGTTTAGGAGCCTTTGATATGACACTTATAGTTTAAATCAAAATACAAAGTGTTTTACATTCAATTTTGGAGTGAATATAATTATGTCGTTTTTATCAGGTCAAACTGGGCTTGACATGTGCCCATTGTATGAACACGTCAACACACCACTGCACTGAGCATTTACACATGAATAGGTGCTTCTAATGTAGTTTTGGAATAGCTCATTGTCAAAACTTCATGTTACATTATTGGCACATAAGAAGTGGAGCTATGATTGGTTCCTCATCTCGACTATCATCATTCTATTTCTGTCCATGTCATGCCTCATCTAATCCCAGGATGGTGAGAAGCAGGCTGCAGAACACACCCATCTGAACATCATCAAACTTGGATAATACTTAGCAGTCTCAGCTCTGTGATGTACCGAAACAATGATGCGTTAACTGAATGTTTCATGACTGATGAACAGGAATATTTTCTTAGTCTGTGATATATATTTGTGAAGATATATGAGATTCAATGCACAAAGTGTTCTTTCTGTGCATTATTTTGGTACAAAGCATGCGATTGCATCACAACACTGATCCATGCATGAGGCTGTAAATTCATGATTGTAATGACATGTTCATTGAAATGTATAAATGTGAATGTCTTGTGAATAAGTGCATATAATTTCTATACAATTTTTGTACATATCAAAACGGTTGTCATTCATGTTTTGATAGATCCTAAAAGTTACAATCTAATGGTTACAACTGGAAGGAAACAGCATACTTCTAGCTGTTTGATATCCTAGACTGCATGAACAAACATACGTGTAAATAAGTTAAGCATTACAGATGAACTGTGTACAAAAAGATTGTGGTAGCTTGTGAAATAAACACCATAGACATCTACTAATTTTATGTACAAATTAAAATATAATCTAAGTAACGAAAGTATCAAAAACATGCACAAAGTGGTGTAATTCTAACCACACACACCAAATTATTAATGACATCACTGCATGGGTACTCTACCGATTATGCAGGGACACAATAGCACTGTACAGCATAGTGACTAGGATTACAGAGTTAGCTCCCCTTGTAATACACCCTACATAGTTTGTGACTGCACTATCACATACAACAGATTTTTTTTAACACCACAGTCGTGAGAATGGTTTCAGCTAATAAACTAAATATCACATGGAATAGCTAAACGGAAGCATATTTCAACACAATCTCCTAAGCAATATCATATGGCATACAGTTATTTTCATGCTACTTACAGGTACAAAATACAAGATTGAGAGATCGGAAGGTGAATTTGGCAATAGCTCCACTCTTTGGATACTATGCTGAAAGGAACTGATAAAGTCAAGATATATTTTCAAAATTTAATGAAACAACAATTAAGTTTGATGACCTAATATCTAATTTTGATGTAAACCATATCTGTATATATATAGTTAGATGTGAAAAATTCTACTGAACATTCTTGCATATTTAGAAAGCATATTTGGTATTTGTCTGTTTCCACTGTGTTGTAGTGTGGTACAAGCAGGAAACAACCAAAATGTGTTCTTCCAGTGTCTTATGTTGAAGTCAGGACCTAGTTCATGGCATGTCAACTTTGATACCCAGTGTATGACTATAGACACCAAGATGGACCACATGTATGACCTGTGACAACTCTATTTTCATAGATTTACCAACACTGAAATTTCAAGTACACCAAAAATGTCATCAGTTTCCTTCTCAACTCTTATCTGTTCATACTGGTCTGAAACTCGCACTCAACTTCTCATCTCGTACATTTCACATCAGAGCACATCAATGATCATTCATCGCCCTTTTCTCACGTCTCTTTCCTCATTCCATATACTGTTCACCCAAACATCTCTGCCATCACCATGTTCATTTCAAGCATGTAATGTACACACCTATATTGCAGACAGATTACTGACTCAATGTCTAGCACATAGTATCATATATAGCAATCACCGCACGTCAATAGCGAAATTCCACCATGTCACTGACCTGTCTATTTCTGGACAACACAGATGGGTCCCAAATAAATGAAAAAAATCTATCCTGCATGTTCGTTGAACATGTATCATCTCATAAAATAAATCTTCATCACATTGTCAGCATCATTACATGGGGCCCATACAGCATGTCACTCAAGCCAAACACTTATTTCACATTGACAAATGTATATTTCAGACTGATCACAATCCATCCAGGTTCATGCTTGTACATATTTGTACAATACCAACTATCCCTTGTACATCGAAGTTTTTGGGGTCAGTGTCGTGAAGCTCAGGTTCTGGCAATTCAAAAGCACATGTGCTTCAGCATCCACGCCCTCCTCACCTGAGATGTATATGACACTGCTTTCATTCCTATTTGCTTTATAGCACAAGCACTCTGCAACTTGAAAACTTTATATCTATTACTGTTACTTCAAGTAATTCGTGAAAAGAATTGGAACTTAATTGCTGATGTCTCCTGAACTTGTCTCTTTACTGGAACCAGATAGATAAAACATGTTGGTTTCATTGATCATTGCTGTTTGTCATCAAGTCTGTATTGTGAGATCCAACATGAACTTCTGTTAATCAAAAATAATTGATTCCATCTTCTAACCGAAAGAAGCAGATTGTGTAGGTCTCTGCAGGTAACCGTGTCTGTCTGGGCTAACTATCTGAGTTGCCTACATGTTGTAAGCTACATAGATGGGGTCGAGCTGGTCAGCCAGGAAGCCATCTCGTAGATGCATCCGTTGTTTCTCTCCTCTGGAGTTGATTGGAATGACCCCCGGGTCAACCACGACGACCACACCCACAATAAGGTAATGCTCCTCCAATACAGCATTCGTTACCAAGGGAACTAAGTCAAGAGCTTCATTTTCATTTCCATCCAGCTCAACAACCACCACCAGGAGGTTGGTCCATGTAAACACAGCACTGGAAATAGAGGAGGATGTTTAAATGCATGTCTAGCCATATACTTTCTTACTGTGTCCCTATCAGTCCATACTGAAACAGATTTAATAGTAACAAATCTCTAAAATTACACACCACTCTCAAAGTGCCTAGAACACGAACAGTCTTTTCATATTTAACAAACTTTAACATTATATGGTTTCTGAGTACTGGAAATAATACTCACCATTCACAGATCTTCCTATGTGCCCGCAGCACACTAGTCTCTATATCAATGGGGTGGTACCGCATGCCTCGCAACACAATTGTCTCATCCAGGCCTCCAACAACAAAGATGGCATCGTGGCGCTCTGTCAAATAATTCATCACAGCTTATTAAGAAGGTGGTACACACTGATAATATTCAGTGTTTCAAACCAAACAGAAGAGATCAAGGATCACTTATGTGGCCATGGCAATAAAGGAGCAATACTGATACAATCATTTTATCTTTTGTAACAAATATTAGTTCTGAAGACTGCTGACACATAATCTCAAACATACATCATGATACTTGTAATCTAATGTCCAACAGGGAAACTAGTAGTCAGATACTGACAAGCAGACAGACTCGATACAATGGCAGGCCAGTCTCAATACTGACAACCAGACAGACTCCATACAATGGCAGGCCAGTCTCAATACTGACCGAGACAGACTCCATACAATGGCAGGCCAGTCTCAATACTGACAACCAGACAGACTCCATACAATGGCAGGCCAGTCTCAATACTGACAACCAGACAGACTCCATACAATGGCAGGCCAGTCTCAATACTGACAACCAGACAGACTCGATACAATGGCAGGCCAGTCTCAATACTGACAACCAGACAGACTCCATACAATGGCAGGCCAGTCTCAATACTGACAACCAGACAGACTCCATACAATGGCAGGCCAGTCTCAATACTGACAACCAGACAGACTCCACACAATGGCAGGCCAGTCTCAATACTGACAACCAGACAGACTCCATCTGTGGAGTCTGTCTGGTTGTCAGTATTGAGACTGGCCATCTATGACTGGCCATCTGTCTGGTTGTCAGACAGACTCCACACAATGGCAGGCCAGTCTCAATACTGACAACCAGACAGACTCCACACAATGGCAGGCCAGTCTCAATACTGACAACCAGACAGACTCCACACAATGGCAGGCCAGTCTCAACACTGACAACCAGACAGACTCCACACAATGGCAGGCCAGTCTCAACACTGACAACCAGACAGACTCCACACAATGGCAGGCCCGTCTCAATACTGACAACCAGACAGACTCCATACAATGGCAGGCCAGTCTCAACACTGACAACCAGACAGACTCCACACAATGGCAGGCCCGTCTCAATACTGACAACCAGACAGACTCCATACAATGGCAGGCCAGTCTCAACTGTTTTTACCAATGGGCAGAATGGGGCAAACACAGGACCTTCAATCATGATAGTAAGCAATGGGTACTAGGATCAAGATTACCCTGGAATCCCAACTGGGGACAAGCATTGGGTACACGAACCAAGGCTACCCTGAATTCCTATGGGTGACAAGCATAGGGTACTAACCCAAACCTACCCATCCTCACTGTCGACAAGCATTGGGTACACGGACCAAGGCTATCCTGAATCCCCATGGGTGACAAGCATAGGGTACTAACCCAAGCCTACCCATCTTCACTGTGGACAAGCATTGGGTACATGGACCAAGGCTACCCTGAATCCCCATGGGTGACAAGCATAGGGTACTAACCCAAGCCTAACCATCCTCACTGTCGACAAGCATTGGGTACATGGACCAAGGCTACCCTGAATCCTCATGGGTGACAAGCATAGGGTACTAACCCAAGCCTACCCATCCTCACTGTGGACAAGCATTGGGTACATGGACCAAGGCTTCCCTGAATCCCCATGGGTGACAAGCATAGGGTACTAACCCAAGCCTAACCATCCTCACTGTCGACAAGCATTGGGTACATGGACCAAGGCTACCCTGAATCCCCATGGGTGACAAGCATAGGGTACTAACCCAAACCTAACCATCCTCACTGTCGACAAGCATTGGGTACATGGACAAAGGCTACCCTGAATCCCCATGGGTGACAAGCATAGGGTACTAACCCAAACCTACCCATCCTCACTGTCGACAAGCATTGGGTACACATACCAACCAACAATTGCCAACAAGACCTCACATGATGATGATTATTCATACCTCCATCTGACTGAGTGAGCTCTGTTCTGCGTATGAAGCCCAAGAACCCTGTCCTTGCATACGATGTCTGCGTGTCGCCCGTGGCCAGTCTGGAGTCGAAATGATCCTGGTGAAGGGAGTCATCGCCATATATGGTGAAGTAGCCGGTAGCACTGTGGGGACTGCTCACCCAGACCTGTCAAACAGAACAATACATGAAGCATACCTCAAAGCAAAAAATATTTGCACACAAACTGATTCTCTGACTCAAATTACCTTTGAAAAACAGTAGCAGGTAATAGGAAATGGCACAACATGTAGCTAAACATTAGTGTACGGTTAAATAGTAAACTACATCATACTGACAACATCTGTAACCTGCTTCTCTCTTCACAACACATATCAAAGATACATAAGCTTACAAAATCTACTTCAATTCTACAAACCAGTAAGGGAATCTATGGTCTGATCACAACAAGGACATAAGTTCTATGATTCAATAGTAATAGAAGCAGTGAGCATCACGTACCTCTCCAAGATGGGAGTCAGCACACTGGCCTTTAGTCTCAGGGTTGGCTATCACCACCTTCACTCCTGGCAGCAGCTGATGGATATCAAACAGAACTCTCAAGTATAACTTAATGCATCTCACACATTTAATAATAACTATAGTCTAAGTCTGATTTTCTCCAGTATGTAAGAGATTTGTGTGGTGTATATAATATGTACTTATATAAAATACAATGCTGCATGTTAGCAGTATTAAAGGCCATGGTGGCGTGTAAACGGTAAAATCTGGAGAAAACAATACAGGTATAGATACCATGAGCAGTAGTCCACAAGGAACCAATCAACCTATCAACCAATCTTGACCACACAATGCAACTGGTCACCCCATACGACCAGCAAAAGTCAATGGGAAGCTGTTCTACCCTGGAATTTCCATGGTGAACCCTTGACTGACTGTGACAACCGCTTACCTTGCCCGATTCCATGAGACAGAGACTGTGAGGGCTGCCCTTCTCAACTAGTGTCACTCGGTCGTTGCGGAGAGCACGCAGATCGACATACACAGTTGTTGGTTCTGGACATGAAGCACCCTGGAAATAAAGTCTTCCTTACCTCGGTTCTCAATATTTTCAAACCTTTTGTCAACACAATCCTGACTACAAAATATCTAAGTGTCACCTGAGCATAATACATATAGATTGTAAAACTAAAATAAACCCTGTGCACTTTAAAAGAACCCATGAATCCGTTGGTAAATGACCAGATAGTGGCCACATGAATACGTGCAAACACGTAGTTGCGGGTAGAGCAATGTGCAGTAAACTTGGACAAAGTACTATGACTATGTGTCCCAGTCCACCCAGCTTTGAATGGATACCTCGAAAGGATGGGAAAGTCACATTAACTCGGTGCGCCTTGTGGCAGCAAGAGTTGTATGATCCTCAGGGAGTTGAGATTGATAATATGATGTGCCGCTGAGATTGACATCCAATGATCGAGGGAAAAACAAAAGAAGCGCTTTGAGCTTTCATGTGGGATGGACTATAGCGTTATATAAATACCCATATAAAAAAAGACAAGGCCTTTCGTTATTCAGATTTGTCTTTTAAGACACCGCATATTTATAAGAAATATCAATGCACAGCCCTAGTGAACAAAAAGTTTCTTTTACCTCTTGTATAATTTGGAAAAAACTGCAGCATGTTTTGGAAGCCAAAACATGAAATATATACCTGGAAATTCGTCTGAAAGCACTTACAAACTGGGTCTAGAATTTCCTTACAACTGAAACCATGAGCATCCTCTAACAAATGTGCAGTGAATACCAGCACCTACCTGTAGACCTATTCCTACATTGACTCTGCAGCCAAAGCTTGTGCTGACAGCCCGAGGGGAGAGTCCCAGGCTGGCAAACAGCTTGGTGAAGGATGTAGTCAGCTGTATCCTCGGCCGCTCTTCGGCAATCACGCAGCATGCCCGCACACACACCAGGTTCACTCCCTTTGCCTGGAACACACCAGCAACATGAGGGTGAACCTACCTACACTTAGAAATAGCTACAGTGACCGAGATGGGTTCTACATGTACAAACTATTAAGTCATATCACTGCTTTGTGTTGACTTGCCTGACAGCATGGACGATCAAGGTCTTTATTACAACAATAGTAACATTTCGATGTAGATTCTTAAACCTTTATCAAGAAATATTTATGACAATAATAAAGAAGTTGATAACTCTGTATCAATTTAAGCAAAAACATATTCCCAAATAAGAAGTTGGGAAAGACAACACCCTCTCTGCCAGGTAAATTCACAGCTTATCCTACGGCCAGACACAAACACAAGTGTCATATGTGGTATCATATGGGTGAGTAAACTCAGTCTAACGGGTTCCTGATGGTAAGTTTCACAATATTCCAGGTAGAAATGCAACCTTGGCTTTCCTCTGGCAAGTGAATACTTCACCTAAAAGGCTGCCAAACACCTGTAGCAAGTAAAACTACTAAAGACAAGAAGACATGGTCATCAATGTCCCCCGCCCCACAGTTCCTGTTTTTTAACTCCACCACGACATTCATGTCCTGAACACTCATATACCACAGTTGCTTTCCCTTCTACAACGGTTACTGAGAAAATCTGCTCCCATAGGGGATACCGTGCACTAAGTCAAGAAACGACAGTAATTTTGTAACAAATTGGAACATGGTTTTCGTTTTCGAACTCTATCAAGGCATTCATGTCCTGAAAACACATATCAAATTTGGTTTCCTTATCTATAATGGTTTCTGAGAAAATCTGTCCTCATTGGGGATACCGTGCACTAAGTCGAGGAATTTGTCGCCATCATCTCGAACGGACAGAGCTCAAACCTATATCTCCCTCACATCATGGCGGGGGATAGTAATACCAAACAACAAAGTTTGCTTGTTATTGACTTGATACACTGACCATGGCATATGTATAAACAATGGTATAGCACACAGACGCTTACTTTGAGAGCTGATGTGGATGTCCCAAGACCCCGTGTACACAGCTCCATCACACCATACGAACAGAAGGTGTCTCTCACTGGAAACAATCAAATATCAACTTCAAAAAGTAAACAATAACAAATATTACAAGAAGTACTAAGTGGGTAATGGAACCTACAATGTTAGGTCTCCAGCATGACCAGGGGCGCAACTCTCCATTGTGAACTGCAGTGTCTCAGATGACTGGGGTGCCTGTGTCCCATTTTAAGAAAGAAAAGGGTATATAATGTCAACCGAACTCCCAGTTACCTCACCACTGATCAGATGATGACTTCATGAATAATGTATGACATCAGATATCATCAAAGCAATGTGATGCTGAATCTCTTCTGACCAATGAGCATCAAGAATTTCTAAAGTGCACATGCAGAAACTGAAAACCTGTCACCGTCAACCTGTATACCATGCTGTTTCATGATTTTGGTTGCACTACTGAATATATTGTCTGGTGCACTATGATGGGGTCCTGCCCCTAACTCACCTTTGTAGACACTGACTGAGGACAACCACACTGCTGGATTCGTCTCCACTTCTGACGGTGGAATCAAGATGGAATGGTGGCCAGAATACACACTGGAAAATACAAACATTTTCTCACAGAATCTGTGTTAAAGCCATAATTGTTACCTGTGGATCCATATACTCTGTGTTGGCAAGAACTGATACCAGAGGATGAAGTGCAATATGCTCTATATTAGCAAGAACCGATGAAAGATAATCCAGTCCAATAGCACCCATATTGGTAAGAACAAGTATCAGAAGATACTGCTTCATATAGTTTGCATTGACAAGAACTGATATTAGTGAGTTCATTGTAAAGTATTCTGCATTGACAAGAACTGATATTAGTGAGTTCATTGTAAAGTATTCTGCATTGACAAGAACTCACAAAAAACCTATTCTGCCCCTGACTTCCCAATACTATTACGTACAACAGCCCTATCAGAAAGTAGCCCGTTCCTCTGTAAATGCACCTACCTGCTGAGACACCAGAGGACCAGTCCGAGGCCACAGTATGGGTCGAGACACAGTGCAACATCACGGGACGGGTATAGTTCACACTGGAGTTTCTGGGCTCGACACAGAGCAGTAGCAGCAGCATGGGACATCTGACAGAACAAGAACAATGTTTTTCATGAGAATGAGAGTGTCAGTAACAAACTGTTGGGGGAAACATATTTAAAAGTGATTTTAAGCCTCAAAGTCTCCTGGTTACATATCTGCATATGGGCACAATTCTTGATAAATGTAAAGTCCCATATTTGGGACAAACATAAATACCACATCCATTACTGACTGACTGAGTTTAGTTTTACGCCGCTTTTAGCAATATTCCAGCAATATCACGGGGACACCAGAAATGGGCTTAACACATTGTGCCCATGTGGGGAATCGAACCCGGGTCTTCGGCATGACGAGCCAACGCTTTAACCACTAGGCTACCCCACCGCCCCACATCCATTACTACTGAATATGATTTGTCAGAAAAACTCATAGTCCACCAACATTTTTCTGCATTCATCCACTTTATCAAGACAGATATTCCATTTGATAAGACAGTGAGAGTTTGAGCTTTTGAAAGATAGGTCTTCCTAGAATGCCCCAACCCGCCCACAGACCTGGAATCTGTGCAACATCTAAATAACAAAGAGAATGAATTATCACAGGGCTACATGAGCCATGAGAATGGAGAAGGCAGCCAGACCCACCTTCACACCGGCCAGCATGCCCGTGGTGGACACGCTGAAGTCAAGGTAGCAGATCATCTCTGGGGTGGGGGCACGGTACACAGCAGCCAGTTTCCGCTTGGGAAGGTCATCGGTATCCAGTAGCTTGGGCCATGTCTTAGGCTCAACAATTGCTCCTGCTTCCTGTATTACATGAACATTCACAATCGTCACAAACAGAACTACAATCCAACATCATCCATCTACCTGTCTATTCCAGTGAACAGTTCTTGAGATATCTCGCTGACAAGGGTAAAACGTTAAAGTCCCCTTGTGAACTTGAAATGAGGGTCAAGGTCACCAAAACTTTCACATACTGTGATGAACCTAGATGCCAAATATGAAAAGAATCTAGTCAACGGTTTTTTAAGATATTCCAATTCGTATGGACGGACAGAGCCGTCTACTATATCCCCCGCTTCGTGCTAAAAATGCCCAGTGGGCTGAGGCAAGGAAGACATGATGTACTGACCTTGGACTTGAGGAGCTTGATGATGAAGGTGCTGGTGAGGATGGCGACTGACTTGCTGACCTCTACAATCATCCGGACAGTAGGGAGAGTGGAGCCAACGTTCTGGGGGTGGGGTGGGCGTATCGTCACTGGTACACAACCTGGCAGAAACCACCATCAGCGTTTTACTACATCATCTACATCAACAACATGTCTACATCAAAACATTTCAACACAATAGATCCTTGTTATCAGCACAAATACAACACATCCTGATAAGGAATCACTTTATCGGAAACTAGGATTCTAAATGTGTAGAAAGCTTGGGGCACATTTACTCACCTACATACAAGCAGCCATAGAATGCAGCTATCAGCTCTATTCCTGAAACAGAGATACACAAATGTTACCTGTTCAATGACCACATATACAGACACATTGGATACTAATGATGCAAACGTCAGTTCAGTAATTCTCAATTTATTCCGACTATAAGCAGTATAGATATTGGCACAGCAACTTGTCAAACTAAATCAGAACATACAACTGATGGTTGATAAATGACACACAGATTGATGTGTTACCTGGTGGGTAGATGAGTGCCACGTGGTCGCCAGTGTTCAGCCCTCCCTTTTCCATCAGCAGACAGCCAATCCTCTCTGCACGCTTATGTAGCTGGGAGCAGGTTACAGTTAGATGGGGCTGCATCTGAATCAAAAACAATCACAGAGTATAAAGAATTAGCAGAACTTGTGTGTCTACATACATCATGAGCAGAAAATGTAATTTTTGGAGTAAAATTGATATTTTATACTTATCCTGACTCATGCTCTTTTTGCTTGTCTTCTTCTTCTTGCGAACATAGTGGAACACTTGTATCTCCCTAATTGAAGCTCCCTTCAATTTAAAATCACTAATTAGTATTCACCACGAGTTACCTCCTTTTCACAAGCGCGTGAACGAGGGCGCCACCTCTACCCATGTGCCTCACTCTCTCCTCATATACTGAGCCCAACATTTGAATTTACAGGGAAATCCAAAGTGTTATTTGGGGAGGATGGGAGGGCTGACCTCATGAGTCAGGATAAGTATAAAATATCAATTTTACTCCAAAATTACATATTTTTCCTTATCCTGACTCATGCTCTTTTGCTTGTAGCATCCAACATGAGCGGAGGTGGGAATATCTAATACTTTGGATTTTTAATAATTAGTGATTTGAACTGTGATGATTGTAATAACCCTATGGGAACTTCATAAAGGCACTGAACTGATGAATTCCTGCTGCTAACTTATCAGCTGCCATATAAAAGGTTATTATCATGTACTTATTATGATAAAGTATATATAACATTAATACAATGCTTAAGACTAATAGACTTAAGCTTGTTAATATGCTAGTATAAACTCCTTAGAGTTTGTTAGCTAAAATACTTTAAGATATAACATAGTACTAAGCTTAAGATATGATTAAACTTAAGCTAATTATATAATAGCAAACTCTTTAGAGTTTGTTAGTTAATATACTTATATGATATAGATATAATGCTGAGCTTAAGATATGAATAAGCTTTAGCTACATATATAATAGCAAAACTCTGTAGAGTTTGTTAGCTAATATATTTTTATAATATGAGTATAGTACTGTGCTTAAGCTATAATTAACTTAAGCTACATATATAATAGCCAAACTCTGTAGAGTTTGTTAGCTAATATATTTTTATAATATGAGTATAGTACTGTGCTTAAGCTATAATTAACTTAAGCTACATATATAATAGCCAAACTCTGTAGAGTTTGTTAGCTAATATATATTTATAATATTAGTATAGTACTGAGCTTAAGATATAATTAACTTAAGCTACATATATATAGCAAAACTCTGTAGGGTTTTGTTAGCTAATATATTTTACAATATGAGTATAGTAGTGTGCTTAAGATATAATTAACTTAAGCTACATATATAATAGCAAAACTCCGTAGAGTTTGTTAGCTAATATATTTTTACAATATGAGTATAGTAGTGTGCTTAAGATATAATGAACTTAAGCTACATATATAATAGCAAAACTCCGTAGAGTTTGTTAGCTAATATATTTTACAATATGAGTATAGTATTGTGCTTAAGATATTATTAACTTAAGCTACATATATAATAGCCAAAACACTCTGTAGAGTTTATTAGCTAATATGTTTATAGTGTAACCATAGTACTAAGCTTAAGATAAGATTAGACTTAAGCTAAAAGTATATAGCAAAATAAACTCCTTAGAGTTTATTAACTAATATACTTTTATGTTAAAAACATAGTACTGAGCTTAAGTTATGATGAAACTTAAGCTATATATATATAATAACAAAACTCCGTCGAAGTTTTGTTAGCTAATACCTTTATAATGTAAACATACTGCTTAAGATATGATGAAACTTAAGCTAATTGTATAATAGCTTGAAAACAACCCTTTAGAGTTTGTTAGCTATGATATAAACCTAGTATTGAGCTTATGAAGGAAAACTTAAGCTACATATATAATAGCAAGAACTCCGTGAGAGTTTGTTAGCTAATACATGTTATAATGTAACCATAAAGCTTAAAATATGATGAAACTTAAGCGAAATATATAATAGCAAAACCCTCTTTTAGAGTTTTGATAGCTAATATACCTATATGATATAAACATAGTACTGCGCTTAAGATATGAATAAGCTTAAGTTACATATATAATAGCTAAAACTCTGTAGAGTTTGTTAGCTAATACATGTTATAATATAACCATATTGCTTAGAAATATGATGATACTTATAGCAAAAAACTCTTTAGAGTTTGTTAGCTAATCTACTTATATGATATAAACATAGTACTAAGCTTAAGATATGAATAAGCTTAAGCTACCTATATAATAGCAAAACTCCTTAGAGTTTGTTAGCCAATATATTTTAATAATATGAGTATAGTACTATGCTTAAGGTATAATTAGCTTAAGTTACCTATATAATAGTAAAACTCCGTAGAGTTTGTTAGCTTAATTAACTTAAGCTATGTATAAAATAGCCAAAAACTCTGTAGAGTTTGTTAGCTAATGCATTTATCATGTAACCATAGTATTACTCTTAAGATATGAATAACTTAAGGTAAATATATATAATAACAAACTCTGTAGAGTTGTTAACTTATATATTGTATGATGTAATAATCATAGTACTGTGATGATAAAAGGAACTTAAGTAAATTATACATAGCATGAAGCTATTTAGTATTGTTATAAGATAAGTAAAAATCTGTTAGATTGACTTATCTTCTCCGAGGAACTGTCAGCTGTTGTGCGAGGACCATGGGATCGAATTGGTGTATACCTGAGACGTCCTCGGTGGTGATATCTCTCAGATAATGGTTTGCAACCACCATATCGGATTTCCAGAAATAACCCTCCATTATTTCAATCACATTTGTGTAGAACAATTGTAGAAGTTAGAGCTATAATATCATGAGTATTAAGCTCATGGAGGGTCGGAATAGGTCCATCCATATGCACGTTAGTATGACAGTTCTGATCCAAATGGAGATATAGTACATGAGACTTCACTCTGCGTAAGTTGATGATAGAGGAAATAATCTGTTGCATTTTTTCCTCCTGTTTGGTTTGGTGGAGATAAATTTACAGTGCTCTTGCTGGCCAACTTGATAGAATCATCGTATCATGGGGTCCAAGTATGTCATCCAGGCGTGTTCATAAACCTCACTTGTGAGGTGTTGGAGCACTATATTCATATCCCCAGGTTGGGCGTGAAATTTCCGTTTTATTCTCCAAACAGAAGTTTAGTAGGTTTACTAACCATCTAGTTGTGTTAGTCGCTTGATGAAATTCAGCTGTAGTCTGAAACGCTGTGGATTTAGATCCACTTGTATCTTCGCCTCTAGGTAATTCGCCATGAAGTCCTTGACGATGTAGGTGCACAACCAGGTGTGTCTGTCCTCGTTGAACTTTATGTAAAATCGCCTGACTGCCGATCCCTCGTCTTAACTTGACAGGGGAGGTCTCTAACTTGAAGAAAGGCAGTCTAATCATGAATGTTCAGGTTAACTGGACTGTAATGAGGCTTGCTCGTTCACTGATATATAGTTGTCACTTGTGACGTAAGTCTTGAACTGTGAATTGAGATCGACCTCTGTGTAGGTCGTTGTCCCTCGCCGGTCCAATCAGAACAAGGCATTTTGATTCTGTATAATACCAGCTGTGATGTCACCGGTGTAGCAGGAAAAAACCCACCTTGAATAAATTCTTGTCGTCGTTGATATTAGCATAAACGCCGGTCTTCACCGTAGCTTCCCCGGTTATCCGAGTGACCACGTGTTTCGAGGGTTAATGGTAATCGCTGAAAACCTCCGCCGAAATATCTCTCGCTCTGTAATTTTATGCTGGGTAGGTTATTTTCCTGGTTGTCGTGAAAGTAATTTCAGTTTTGAATATAATTCGACTTCCTTATATATAAGGGTATAAACAACTTGCAAGTTGTGAGCTTGTAGACTGTATACATGAATGTATCGTCATAATTGTAGAATTAACGTTGAACTTGTTGTACATATTTCTTCTCAGAAACTTTGACGATTAAGAGTTATACTCGCTGTAACAAGGCTGCTGTTCAATTTTGATATTGAATTGTCTGCAGATATGCGTAATGGTCACGCATGTAGATAATCGTATCGTCGTCCGGGATTGTATATTAGCAATTTATACGGAATAGTTGATTTCTGTGAAGATCTATGAAATGTCGTTGACTATTAATACAGCGGCGTTCTGTGTTGTAAATAGCCTGAGCAATTATCTTCGCGTAGGCTTATAGCGGCATCTGGCATACAGTTGATAATCAACTTATGCGACGTCTTGAACGGACTGACGGAGTAGCTATATATGACGAAAGTGGCTAGTATATGGAAACCTTGGAGGAGACTTCCTCGGTGAGCGCGGAGACTTCAGCGAAGTTCTCGAAGTATCCCTTCTAGATCTTCTGGGTGAAGTAGACTTGGAGCCACTTAGCCTTAGCGACCATCGCGAAGGTGTCGAAGTCAAAGCCCGATTAGTATATATATATATATATAAATATATATATGAGCTTGCCGTGAACAGCCTCTGTGTTTAACAGGATGTGGGATCGGGTATAGGACGCTTGCCTGCAGTAGGGTAGGGCATGGATCATCTTATCATATTCAGAAGTCGTGTTACGAAGTCTGGTGATAAGTGTCTAATTGATCGTTCTAGATCTATTTAGGCCAGCGAACATACGTCTGCGTCATGGATTCAACAGAACCAATATCACGATTGTAGTTCTTATACTTGATATCGATGATCAACTTGTCTATGGGTTGATCTTCTCGGAGACTTGTGAGGGGAAGCGTTGATAGTTTCGCAACTTTTGTGGCTTTATGAAGCTCTTGTATAGTCCCTCGATGTCCTTCTAGATGATGATGATCTGGATTCAGGTGTCCTTGCGTGCAGGCATGCCTTCGCGATCGAAGCTTCCTCTGCGTCCGGTCCGGGGAAGCGACGATATGACCTTCAGCGAAGGCTTCCGTGATGTCTGATGGTCCGAGTCCACATCTAGGGATGAAACCGCGATAAGGTGATGATCTATCCTGCCCGCGAAGTCCTTCGCTGAAGGCTGTCTATCTAGGTTCTTTCTTCCGCGAAGGCTGTACATCTAGGTCCTTTCCGCCGAAGGCGAAGGCTGTACATCTAGGTCCTTCGTCAAGGTGGTCCGTGACTTCCTTCGAAGGTGACATCGTCCTGGCTGCTACGTTGGACGGGGGTGCCTCTGGGGTGCTGTCACGTTGGAGCCTTGAAAACCCTCGGACCCTGCTACCGCGAGATATAGTGGTCCTCCATGATGTTCATGGTCTGCGGCGAAGTAGTCAGGTCGCCGGTGCTTTATCTTTGCGGTGTTAATGGAGGGGTCCACCGGAAAATCGTCCGACATCAGTGTAGAGGCATCAGGCTGCATGGTGATCTCTGCTGATGTCGTTGTAGCTGTCACCGGTCGTTTCTTGTGGCGTACGTCGGGGATGATGATCAGCTGATCATCGTAGAGGTCCAGGTCATCGGCTGGAACAATCTCGGTTGAGAAAGTCCTAGTAGACTTCGTTGATTTTCCCTCAGAGGTCGACGCTGCCCTGGGTGTGCGACGTCTGCGTTGAGTGTTGGTAATGATGGGACCCTCAGGACGATCATCGCATATCTGCGTTGGTACATCAGGCTGCATGCTGATCTGAGCCGACATCGGTCAATCTTTGATGTACTGGTAGAAAAACCCTCTAGTCTTCTGCTGCGACGATGGGATGTCTGGGGAAGCAGGATGCTTCTTGGAGATGGCGGACTACGTCCCACACCTCTCCACCACTCTAGCGGAACACCACACGGGAGGGGAGTCGGCCAACAGCAGTAGACTGGCGAGGGGTTCCGGTGTATCAGTCATACTAGAGTCTGCATACGCGACCTATCTGCTGTGCGTGCCAAACGCAAAGTAAATATTAATAAAAAGGTAGAATTGGATAAATTAGTACCGCAACTGCAATGTGAATATAATAAACATGGCGCCGTACATCATATTAAAGGCGGATCAGCAGCAGCATAAAAAACGTAATCTGCAATAGTACAGAATTTTCATCAACGTAATCCACTGAAACAAACACGGCGTCCCGTGAATAAACTGTAGAAAAACGACTAAATATCAATATATAATCGTTGAAGGATACTAGCTAAACCTCTATAGATGTCTATACGAGGTAACTAACTAAATATATTTCAAAGGATATAGTGTGTCGGGAGACACAGGCGCTCTCACGTCCAGCTCACTGGGCGAAGAAGGAGAGAGTGAGGCACATGGGTAGAGGTGACGCCCTCGTTCCCGAGCTTGTGAAAAGGAGGTAACTCGTGGTGAATACTAATTAGTGATTTTAAATTGAAGGGAGCTTCAATTAGGGAGATACAAGTGTTCCACTATGTTCGCAAGAAGAAGAAGACAAGCAAAAAGAGCATGAGTCAGGATAAGGAAAAATATGGAGTTTCTACAGATTATTTCCACACTCTCATGTTTTACGAGATGTTATAATCAAGCATTCTGATTGGTCCAGTTCATCTCATTGACTCATAGTGAAGAGAGTAAAGTCTTATAATCAAAATTAGAACACCACTACCTATACTTAAAATATGGAACATCGAAGAAGTATTGTCCTTGGTTGTGACCTGTGACAAAAACTTATGATGCATACATTTTCGCATTAGACATTGTATCAGAGAAAAAAGATCCCTGGGACAAAGGCCGAGATGTCATTTGACTGACATTACATAATCATTTAATAATTTTAAATATGTTTATATATCGGGTGAACTGAAATGTAATACACATATTCTGATATTGTGAAAAGTGTTAGGTCTAATAAATAAGTCACACGTCAGGAAGGTTCCTAAAAATATAATCATGTTGACATGACTATGGCCTGGGTCTCGTTTCACAAAGCTGCCGTAAGCCTAAGATCTCGTAACGTTTCTCGTAGCATTCGTACCTCCTATACTGTAACATTGACTTACGACAGTCGTAGCGATATGAGAGCTTTGTGAAACAGGGCCCTGGACAGTAAACTGGCCTGCAGTATCTGGTATTGAATGGGTTAAACACACAAAAAAAAAGCAGATGAAATTTATAGGCATCACATCTGTTACATATTTAAACAATACCTACCCTGGCATTGAGCATGGTGAACATGATATGGTCAGGTGTGGACAGTGATCGCCATCGGAGAATCTCTGTCAGGAACTGGTGCTGTGAAAGAGGAAACAAGCTTACATTGGAACAGGGTCACACTGGGCCTTACACTGAAGCCATGGCAGTTGTCACGTACAACAAACAGGGTTATATCGAGTGTTTTACAATGATCCCTCAAGAACAAACTATACAAAGAGGCATTCCTATTCTTGACTGCAAATATCCATACATAGGCCACACCAATTACACCTGTATTGTTTTACAGATTCTGTCTTGTTGGCATTTGAATTGTGAATATACTATTGTAAATCAATCTGGCATTGTTACTAGTGTTTTATAACATGCAGCTAGTCACCTTCCTAGAAGCATCTCCATCCTCCTCTCCAATGCCGAGGTCACGCCCCTGCGCCCACGCCATGCGGGCACCCTGTACAATGTTGCCCACATGGACCGCTGATGGTGTCACATCTGAAATGTCAGAAAACATGCCGCATGAATACTGAGCACAACACACAGGGAGGAACATCCTAACATGGCAGCTGGTAGACACAATCTGACTGTAATCAACTTTCATTACATATACCATCACGAAGGATTTAGGAAACTACACATGGAGTAGGTTGAGGAAAGTGGCTATTTAGAGATACACACACTGATGGTATTCACAAATACACGAGCACAATATACAATGGTTTTGAAAGCACAAAGGTAATGGTCAATCAGTGCCCCCTTCCACAAAGCCATCTTAGATCAGTGACTGGCATAAGTATACAAGGGCCAGTCAAGGTGCTGTGATGTATTTGTGGAGGGAGGTCTGAGCTTCAAGAGCTTCACATACTGGACATAATGACTTGTCCTTGAAACATTTGAGGGATGAAAAACACATCAGGAAATAATCTAGTAAATGTCAGTTACACAAATTAAATACTGATTTCCGACCAAAATAAGTTGAAGTAATTCAACCAATTATATTTAATAGCTTAGTACATTTTTATTTAATGCATCATGTTGTACATGTAACTAGATCTACAAGTGGCTAAACATTTGGAGGCAGTTTGGCGTGTAGAGAATGTGCAAGTGCATATCCACGCCCTGCAACATAACATCGAGAGCAACTGCATTGCGACGTGTCATCAGACATCGACAACAGGTGACATCAACATCACCATTTTCAAAACGTGACTTCAATGTCAACAGTGGCTTCATCGTCAGGGTTAATTGTCAGTGATGTGAGGATAGACAGAGAATCAGCCTCATGGATTGATTAACAGCATCAAGACTGGGAAGAATGAAATCAGAATTATCGAAGGGTGATACTGACAAACAGGATTATCAAAAAGTGATATCGACATCAGAATTATCAAAAGGTGATATCGACATCAGAATTATCAAAAGGTGATATCGACAGGCGACATCGACATCAGGATTAACTATAGTCTCACCACTGTGAAATGGAAGGTCAGCCGGGCTGGCGTCAAATGCTACCAGAGAAAATGTGAGCAAAGAATTAGCAAAGGAAATAAGGTGAGCCATTGAGAAGAAACACACACATAAGCAAACATCTACACTCATATCATCACAGCATGCAGTTAAGTACAAGCTTCAAACTGACATTCTGCAATCAACAATGCATTACAACAGGGCATGAAAACGTTTACCATTTATTTCTTAAATTACGAATAATTAGATAGATCATAATTGATCATTTATCAATATATTGTAATATTGTGTCTTATGGACTAACAATCTAGCTCAAACGTGGAGAGATCGGGGATGAAATGAAAAAAACATGTCCCAAAACAATGTATAATTGTCAAGGTTTGTACAGAATAAGAGAGGGTAGGGATGTGGATATGTACCCCTTGTGACTATGAATGCAATTACTAGAGTACTAAGGGTGGGTTAGCAGGTCTGGGTTTTACAAAGCCATCAAACAACATAGCATTCTATTCCACTATACACAACAACGACTGGACTCAGAACAGGGATTTGCTTATCATGCAAAATGCGGCAAATCAATTTCAATTTACCTCCTCTGTCAATCAGACTTTTCAGGTCATTAATAACTAGATATAAAGATTAATTGTTGTCAAAATGTGTCATAATTGTTTTCAAAATACCATCCACCAAATATATTAAAATACAGTGTGTACAAAACCCCATTTTGTCCCATGCTTCAAATCAGACATGTAATCAAATTGCTCCAGAACATATTTCTATAAATATCACACAAATATGCATTAAAATCAATCAAAACTGCAGTTACAAATCAAAATAATGAAAACTGCTAACTAGCAGACATTCTGAACTCCCTTTGAAGTACCAACACAGCCATTTTAATGTGCAACTAGTACAGCCTTTACAGAATGTTGCATTCAGTAGAAAACTTAAAAAGCAGAATTTTACTGTTAGGAAGACACTACACTGTATCAGTTCTAAGCAAGTTTCCCAAGGCAATTGTTGGTATTTCAGGTTAACCTTGCAACAAAAATAGGACTGATGAAACAGAATGTATCACATGCAAAACCACAGCTACCACACAGGCCACCTTTAAGAAATACGTCCAAAATGTATGTACATCCATTTGACAGCTCAGACAGATGGACACTGCATGTGTGCTGACAATTAAAAATCTAGACCATGAACTTTGCATTACTTTACTAAAACAATAAACATGAAAAGAGACATACTTTCAGTTTTCATTTTATATTCTGCAAATTTTAAACTAAAAAAAGTTAGAAAGAAATTTCTGCGCAGACATGCATAATTACTTTTATGAAATGAGAAATAAATATGGCAGTATGTTCGAATGATCAAACAATAAGCTGCCAAGTGGAATTTTTCATATTTTTGGATCATCATACTATTATCGATCACCGAGAATAAAACCTCAATGTTAATGTTGCAGTTTTTCTTCTCCTTAGAGGTGTCCTGTGCAGAGTGAGTATTGGTAAGAAAATCGGGAATTGTCACACCTTGCATACCTGGGTGGAACTCCCGAGGTTTGGGTAGGTTCGTCACGCAGGTATGGGGGCACATCAACACATTGGCTGGGTGCAATGAGCCCTCCAGGAACTTCTTCTTGGTTTCGTACAGGTGGATTCCTCCCAGAGGTGTCTGTGAGGCAGAGATCAATGGAATCAAATATCTTTTATCCAAAGGGAGATAACTCATTCATTTCCCTTCCCTTGTCCAAGTCAGCACTTTCCAAGTAAACAATCTAAGTGACCATATGTAAGGGAAACAATTATCTGCTGTAATATACTATTAAACTTATTTAGTCAAACTAATTCAGCAGTTCTGCACAGCAGGCAACAGATGCAGCCATGACAGAGGTGTTCACAGTGAGAAATGGCCTTCTATAGTTGTAATTCAACATTGTAATTCTGCACTCTTCAGCTCTGTGAACTCCAAATCCAAATCTTGTGAAATGCACCAGTCATTGCCAAAATCTTTCCAGTCTACTAACAGACTTATGTCACATAACATCAGTTTTAGTAGATTTTAGGTTAAACATAAGGTATTATCAGAGTATATCAGACAGAAAGAAACTTTGGGAGACCCATGCTTCCACTATTAGCCTTGATGACAGATATAAAAACAGGAGTTTCTACTTGTATTGAACACTTGTAAGTAAGCAATGCCCAAGCCAGTGGCTCACCTTTGGGAGATAGTTTGGTGGTACAAGTGCCAGACAGTAGACGCCGACCTGGTGGATGCTGTCCACAGCCTGGAGGACTCGACTCATCCACTGGAAGCTCTGCAACACATTTACTCCACATACAGCAAGAGGAGTCACAGTGAGCTGCAGTACTCTCGCTACAGCATAACCATCTTTAAATAACCAATCCTGGCCACCAGAATCCAAACTTAGATGACAACTATGAGAATGTCTTGCACAACACACAAAGGACATATCTTTGAAAAGACTCATAATACATGGATTCCAGCATCTCTCATGAGCCCTGTAGACAGAATACTGCCAACGCCTGACTGTCCTCAAATATGTATCAGATCTTACCTCCTCCTCTGTACAGTCTGGCCTTTGCTCTGCTATGATCACAATCCTCTCATCCTTCAATACACTGATAGAGAACACAGCAATCCTGAAATAGGTTTCAACATGCATATTAGGGAATGAGTGAGTGAGTATGGTTTTATGCCGCTTTTAGTAATATTCCAGCAATATCGCGGCAGGGGACACCAGAAATGGGCTTCCCACATTGTACCCATGTGGGGAATCGAACCCGGGTCTTCAGCGTGACGAGCAGACACTTTAACCATTAGTGTACCCCACCGCCCCATTAGGGAATGAACTGATCCAAAATTTTATGTTTTTCATTACCAAACCTCTAAACTATCTGCTACCAACCTCCCCAAAACTCTGATCAACTAAAATTAAATGCAAATGACCTAAGGCTGACTGACTGAGTTTGGTTTTACGCAGCTTTTAGCAATATTCCAGCAACATCATAGCTGGGGACACCAGAAATGCTTCACACATTGTACCATGTGGGGATTCTGACGAGCCAACGCTTTAACCACTAGGCTACCCCAACGCCCCAAATGACCTAAGAAACAAAACATTATCAAGAATAACAACCAGCAATCAATAGCTGTGTTTCTTACTGGGACTCTACAGCAAAAATGTTAAAGAACTAGAAAATCACAAGGGTAAAACTTGTATGCACACGTAGGACTTGAACACCAAGGCTGCAAAACATACAAAACTGTTTCAAACCAGAAATGTGAAAATGGCCACAATATTACAATTTGTAAGCTGAGCTTCATCCAGCAAACTGGGAGAAGTGTTCCTACCTTCCCCTGTAGATGAACTTCATAGGTTCCACAGCCAACACAGTAGCTATGATGTCGTCAGTGTTGTGCCGTCTAGTTGCTATCTGCATCAGTCCCTCCTTGCTGCCGCACACAAACACAAGCCCGCCCTGGAAACACAGCAGCAGCAGCTTGTACAGAGCAGTCATACCAGGGTATCTAGCCACAGTTCTCTATCCTATATACCCTCATCATGTCAACTTGATGAGAGTACAAATTTTCAAGTCAAAGATAATTACTATTTGTAACATTCTGTCAAATCTTCAGGTCCATGATAAATGGGTGCTGATTCTAAAGACTGGTTCCAGATAAGTCCAAAAGGAAATGTGCAAACACTGCATGACTTACTGGTCCAAGGAATCCGATGAGCCCTGTCCTCACATACATCTTGTCTGCAGCCAGTCGACCATCACTGTGCAGGGGCTGAACCTGAAAGTACAGCTTTACATCAAACATCTGCTTCCTCCCAACCAACACAAGTAGATTGCTACAATAATTCTCGAAGCATGCAAAGATAACTTTTTCCAACTCTTGAAAGAAATATATTATTGACTGCCACACTGAGATCACTATGAATCAACACTTCACAAATCTGTACACAAAAACATTTCTCCACCATTGAATACATAATGTAATTTTTAGAGTAAAATTGATATTTTATACTTATCCTGACTCATGCTCTTTTTGCTTGTCTTCTTCTTCTTGCGAACATAGTGGAACACTTGTATCTCCCTAATTGAAGCTCCCTTCAATGTAAAATCACTAATTAGTACTCAGCACGAGTTACCTCCCTTCCACAAGCGCGTGAACGAGGGCGCCACCTCCACCCATGTGCCTCACTCTCTCCTCATATACTGAGCCCAACATTTGAATTTACAGGGAAATCCAAAGTGTTATGTGGGGAGGATGGGAGGAGCTTATTCATGAGTCAGGATAAGTATAAAATATCAATTTTACTCTAAAATTACATATTTTTCCTTATCCTGACTCATGCTCTTTTGCTTGTAGACCTAATGAAAGGGAGGTGGGAAATATATAATACTTTGGATTTTAATAATTAGTGATTTGAACTGTGATGATTGTAATAACCCCATGGGAACTTCATAAAGGTACTGAACTGATGAATTCCTGCTGCTAACTTATCAGCTGCCATATAAAGGTTATTACAAAGTACTTATTATGATAAAGTATATATAACATTAATACAATGCTTAAGACTAATAGACTTAAGCTTGTTAATATGCTAGTATAAACTCCTTTAGAGTTTGATAGCTAAAATACTTTAAGATATAAACATAGTACTAAGCTTAAGATATGATTAAACTTAAGCTAATTATATAATAGCAAAACTCTTTAGAGTTTGTTAGTTAATATACTTATATGATATAGATATAATGCTGAGCTTTAGATATGAATAAGCTTTAGCTACATATATAATAGCAAAACTCTGTAGAGTTTGTTAGCTAATATATTTTTACAATATGAGTATAGTACTGTGCTTAAGATATAATTAACTTAAGCTACATATATAATAGCCAAACTCTGTAGAGTTTATTAGCTTATAGATTAATAATGTAACCATAGTACTAAGCTTAAGATAAGATTAGACTTAAGCTAAATGTATATAGCAAAAAACTCCTTAGAGTTTATTAACTAATATACTTTTATGTTATAACCATAGTACTGAGCTTAAGATATAATTAAACTTAAGCTATATATATAATAGCAAAACCCGTGGAGTTTTGTTAGCTAATACATTTTATAATGTAACCATACTGCTTAAGATATGATGAAACTTAAGCTAATTGTATAATAGCAAAACCCTTTAGAGTTTGTTAGCTAAAATACTTATATGATATAAACCTAGTATTGAGTTCATGAAGGAAAACTTAAGCTACATATATAATAGCAAAACTCCTGAGAGTTTGTTAGCTAATATACTTATATGATATAAACATAGTATTGAGCTTTGAAGGAAACTTTAAGCTACATATATAATAGCAAAACTCCAGAGTTTGTTAGCTAATATACTTATATGATATAAACATAGTATTGAGCTTAAGATTTGAAGGAAACTTAAGCTACATATATAATAGCAAAAAAAAAAACTCCGTAGAGTTTGTTAGCTAATACAAGTTATAATGTAACCATAAAGCTTAAATTATGATGAAACTTAAGCCAAATATATAATAGCAAAAACTCTTTTAGAGTTTTGATAGCTAAAATACCTATATGATATCAACATAGTACTGCGCTTAAGATATGAATAAGCTTAAGTTACATATAGCAAAAAACTCCGTAGAGTTTGTTAGCTAATACATGTTATAATGTAACCATATTGCTTAAGATATGAGACTTAAGCCAAATAGCAAAAAACTCTTTAGAGTTTGTTAGCTAATATACTTATATGATATAAACATAGTACTGAGCTTAAGATATGAATAAGCTTAAGCTACCTATATAAAAGCCCAAACTCTGTAGAGTTTGTTAGCTTATATATTTTTACAATCTGAGTATAGTACTATGCTTAAGATATAATTAAGTTAAGGTAAATATATAATAACCAACTCTGTAGAGTTGTTAACTTATATATTGTATGATGTAATAATCATAGTACTGTGATGATAAAAAGAACTTAAGCAAATTATATATAGCATGTAGCTATTTAGTACTGTTATAAGATAAGTAGAAATCTGTAAGATTGACTTATCTTCTCCGAGGAACTGTCAACTGTAGTGCGAGGACCATGGGATCGAATTGGTGTATACCTGAGACGCCCTCGGTGATGATATCTCTCAGATAATGGTTGGCAACCACCATATCGGATCTCCAGAAAATAAACCTCCATTATTTCAAATAACATTGTGTAGATCAATGCAGAAGTTAGCTTCTAATATCATGAGTATTAAAAGCTCATGGAGGGTCGGATTGGGTCCATCCGCCTTGTATGCACGTAGTATGACAGTTCTGATCCAAACGGAGATATAGTACGTGAGATTTCATTCCCGCGTAAGTTGATGATAGAGGAAATAATCTGTTGTATTACTCCCTTCTGTTTGGTTCGGGTGGAGATAAATTTACAGTGCTCTTGCTGGCCATCGTGATAGAATCATCGTATCATGAAGTCCAAGTATGTCATCCAGGCGTTGTTCATAAACCTCACTTGTGAGGTGTTGGAGCACTATATTCAGATCCTCAAGTTGGAGGGTGAAACTTCCGCTTTAATTCTTCAATCAGAAAGTTTAAGTAGGTTTACTAACCATCTAGTTGTGTTAGTAGCTTGATTATGAAATTCAGCTGTAGTCTGAGACGCTGTGGATTTAGATCCACTTGTATCCCGTCGTCTAGGTTATTCGCTGCGAAGTCCTTGACGATGTAGGTGCACAACCAGGTGTGTCTGTCCTCGTTGAAGTTTATGTAAAATTGCCTGACTGCCGTGCTCTCGTCCTAACTTGACAGGGGAGGTCTCTAACCTGAAGAAAGCAGCCCAATCATGAAGGTTCAGATTAACTGGACTGTAAGGAGGCTTGCTCGTTCACTGAAAGTGTTGACCTGTGAAGTAAGATCGACCTCTGCGTAGGTTGTTGTCCAACGCGGTCCAATCAGAACAAGGCATTTTGATTCTGTAGAATACCCGCGCTGTGATGTCACCGGGTGTAGCAGGAAAACCTTGTATAAAATCTTGCCGCCGCTGATATTAGCATAATCGCCGGTCTTCACCGCAGCTTCCCCGGTTACCCGAAAGTGACCACGTGTTTCGAGGGTTAAAGGTAAACGCTGCTGAAACCTCCGCAAATACCTCGCTTCTGTAATATTAATGCTGGGTAGGTTATTTTCCTGGTTGTCGCGGAAAGTAACTTCAGTTTTGAATATAATTCAATTTCTTATATAAAGGTACAATAAACTTGCAAGTTGTCAGCTTGTAGACTGTATACATGAATGTATCGCCATAATTGTAGAATTAAAGCTGAACTTGTACATATTTCTTCTCAGAAACTTTGACGATTATGAGTTATACTCGCTGTAACAAGGCTGCTGTTCAATTTCTCGATATTGAATTGTCTGCAGATCTGTGTAATGGTCACGCATGTAGATACTCAGATCAGAGTCCGGGATTGCATATTCTAGCAATCTATAATGAAAGGTTGATTTCTGTGAAGATCTATGCAACGCCGCTGATTAATTAATATAGCGACGCTTTGTGTTGTAAATAGCCTGTGCAATTGTCTTCGCAGCAGGGCTTATGGATCGCATATGGCATACAGTTGATAGACAACTTATGCGATGTCTTGAACGGACTGACGAAAGTAGCTATATATGACGAAAGTGGCTAATATATGGAGACCTTGGAGGAGAATTCCTCGGTGGACGCCGGAGATTTCGCTAAGCTCTCAAGCATCCAATCTAGATTTCCTGTATGAGGTAGACTTGGAGCCACTTAGCCTTCGCGACCTTCGCGAAGGTATTGAGTCAGAGCCCCATCAGTATATATATATAATATATGAGCTTGCTTCACGAACCACCTCTGTGTTCAACAGGAGTGAGTGAGTGAGTGTATTGTTTTACGCTGGTGAGCCGTTAACTGGTGAGGCTCTAGCCCTTTCGAGGTGGCCTGGGACTTCCTAGGCTAAGCGTCTAGAAATCGATCAATATATGAGCCGCTAGCTTCATACAGGGTGTGGTTCTTGCTGGTTTTGCATAAGTAGAGCCGAGTAGATCATCCTATCATCTTCAGAAGTCGCGGTCACCTAAATCTGGTGATAAGAATCTCATTGATCGCTCTAGATCTATTAATGCCAACAACATACGCCTTCTGGCGCTTTGAACTGTTATGGCTTTATGGTAGGCTGTGTCCACATACTGTGGCACCGCAGCAATCGAAGTCGATTGAGGTAAGGTGATGGCGCCTGCCTCGCCTTCCTTTATCAGGTATGTCTGCACCGAAGCTGCCACTCTTGGAAGGTGAAGAGAGATCTAGGTTGTTTACCATCCAATATCGTGATCTCAGCCGCCTGAGAAAATGATGCCTCCATCATTTTCTATCCCAGCATCACTGATGAGAGGTTGATGCTCTTCTGATGGTGGACTGTGTATTTCTATCTCTATGTCGGGTGACGCCGGGGAGACCTGACTGTAGACTTGTGTGCAGACTTGTGTGGTGACCTGTGAGACGATCGACGGTGATGTAATGAGGAGATCGCACGGTTAACGGCGCTGAGATCGTGGTTGGTGAACTCCGCGCTCTATGCGCTGACCTTCGAGACCTGTGAGGAGAATGTTGATAGCTTCGCTAAGCTCTCGTAGTCAGGTGTCCTTCGCGCTAAGGCCTTCGCGAAGCTTCCTCTGGCGCCCGGGTCCTGGGGAACGGCGATTTGACCTTCGCTGAAGGCTTCCGAGGTCTGACGGTCTGAGTCCGTGATCTAGGGATGAAGCCGAGGAATGTGATGATCTATCCCGCCGCTGGAAGGCCTTCGCTGGCTGTACATCTGGGTCCTTCGTGGAGGTGGTCTGCGACTTCCTTCTGGCGGTGGCTTCGCCGTGGCTGCTACGCTGATGGGGGTGCCTCTGGGGTGTCGCTCGGCGCTGGAACCTTCGCTAAGGCTCGGGCCTTGGGCTGGCTGCTTCCCAGTCTGTGGTGGCCTCCATCATGACTCATGATTTGCCGCAACAGTTCATCTGGGATGGTCTGCGACTTAATTAGTCGGTGCCCTCTCTGCGATGTTAGCGGCGGACCCTCAGGGAAGTCGCCTCGACGCCAGTGTAGAGACATCAGGCTGCATGGCCATCTCTGCTGATGTCACTGTAGCTGTCTCGGGTCGCTTCTTGTGGCGACGCGCCGAATGATGATCAGCTGATCATCGTGAGAGGCCCAGTTCAGCGGCTGGAACAATCTCGCTGAGAAAGTCCTAGTAGACTTCGCTGATTTCCCCTCAGAGGTCGACGCCGCCCTGGGGTGCTAAGTCCGGCGCTTGAGTGTTGGTAGCGACGGACCCTCAGGAAGATCATAGAATATCAGCGTTGGTACATCAGGCTGCATGTTGATCTGGCGCTGACATCACTGTTGCCGACATCGGGTCATTCTTTTGATGTATTATCAGGTATGATGATCGGCTGATCATCATACAGGCTACAGGCCCAAATCTGCGACGGAACAATCTCGGCTGAGAAAGTTCAAGTAGACTTCGTTGATTTCCCCTCAGAGGTCGGCGTTGAGATGCAGTAGAAAACTCTAGTCTTCGGCTGCCACGATGGGATGTCTGGGAAGCAGGACACTTTGGAGGCGCGGACTCACGCCCCACGCTCCACCACTCTAGCGGAACACCAGACGGAGCGGGTCGACCAACAGCAGTAGACTGGCGAGGGGTTCAGGTGTATCAGTCATGGCTAGACTCTGCATAATGCTTGATCCTATCTGCTGCTGCGCCTCAAACGCAAAGTAATTATTTATTAAAGGCAGAAATGGATAAATTAGTACCGCGAACTGCAACGTGAATAAAATGAACATGGCGCAGTACAACTAGGGCATATTAAATGGGATCAGCAGCAGAATAAAAACGAATCTGCAACAGAACAGAATTTTTATCAACGAATCCACTGAAACAAACACGGCGCCCCCGTGAATAAACAGTAGAAACACGACTAAATATCAATATATAATTGTTGAAGGATACTAGCTAAACCTCTATAGATGTCTATACGAGGTAACTAACTAAATATAATCAAAGGATATAGTGTGTCGGGAGACACAGGTGCTCTCACGTCCAGCTCACTGGGCGAAGAAGGAGAGAGTGAGGCACATGGGTGGAGGTGGCGCCCTCGTTCCCGCGCGTTTGTGGAAGGGAGGTAACTCGTGCTGAGTACTAATTAGTGATTTTACATTGAAGGGAGCTTCAATTAGGGAGATACAAGTGTTCCACTATGTTCGCAAGAAGAAGAAGACAAGCAAAAAGAGCATGAGTCAGGATAAGGAAAAATTTGCTGCTTTACTATAAAGTTAATATCTTTAACCAACAAATGAAGATCCGAGTTAGAATTGATCTTCAGTAACCCATGCTTGTCGTAAGAGGCAACTAACGGGATCGGGTGGTCAAGCTCGCTGACTGCTTTGACACATGTCTTCGGTTCCAAATTGTGTAGATCGATACTCATGCTGTTGATCACTGGATTGTTTGGTCCAGACTCGATTATTTACAGACTGCCACCATATAGCTGGAATATTGCTGAGTGAGGCATAAACTAAACTCACTCACTCACTCACAAAGTGCGCACACAGGTAGTGTGATTTTACTTCCATGTCTTTGTTTCATTACCTGACTACAATATACTAGTGTCATCCCCACTACAACCCGTGTCCCAGTACCTGGAATGTTGCAGTGCTGAGTCCCTGAAGTCCCCAGTATGCCGCTCCCGTGTAGCCGGAGCACACACACAGCTCCCCAACCTCGTCTGTCTTACACAGGTAAGGAGCACCCTCCAACCGGATCACCACCATCACAGCTACAACAGGCACAGTGAGTCTCGTGTATGCGTGTATATTTAATTGATTTGGATGGATTAATGATTCGTGTGGAGTAATGAATAAATCTGTTATAAAAACAGCCCTATGTTTACAGAGTTTAAAGAATCCCTCATTCATGAAAATCTGGGCTGGTACATCTACTTTTTCAGGACAATCAGCAATATTAACTGTTACTTTATTGAGATTGTATCTTTCAAAGCATCACTGTAAATGTTCATATCAAAAGCGGGGATTTTTCAGGACCCAACACATCTGAAGAACAATGGCTTTTCTATTAATTACAGTAACAGAACATAAAACACAAAAGAGGTATGGTAGGGACATATGTGTATCTGCTTTCAGAGGTGCCAGTGATAAGCGTTTCTCCCTTTTCCCTATTGGACGTACCTCCTGGCATGACCTGTCCACAGTCCTGTAGCGTAAGCGAAGTGAGGCTGTTCTCACTGTCAACTCGAACCACCCCGAAACTGAGCCCCTGCATGGAGAGGATGCCCCGCCCTGTAGCACTGCTGCTGGTTCTCCCCGGCCTGAGAGGGAAACACATCAACATAAGTCACGTGGATTGTAATCATCTTCAAATTCAAATCATTTGCATCACATCACATTCAGACTTTAAGTTCTGTGGTGCTACAAGATGGTAACAAACAAGTTCAACTGTACTGTTCTAATCGTTCATCAGAGGCTGATACTGTAATTCGTGAAATTACTGAGTCATGAGACTAATGTGAGTAACCCTCCCTTTGAACAATAGAAACAAATCTGCACATGATTTCACATTTGAATTCCAAGAGTTAGTGTAGGTAGATAGCAATTCCAGTCAATAATGTCAGCAAGAAATGTCATTGACAGCTTGTTGATGGAAAGCTTAACATCTATGAAATGAAAAGCAAAAATCTCTAATGACAAATTTTCAAATTCAAGGTTCCAAGTGTTGTTACATGAATAAGTACACTCTCTTAAAGTTCAGTGAGCAGTGGACCCATGAAGATCCAGGGTAGAATTGGTCTTCAGCAACCCATGCTTGTCATAAGAGGCGACTAACAGGATCAGCTGGTCAGGCCCGCTGACTTGGCTGACACGTCATCGTATCCCAATTAAATTAGATTTGATGCTCATGCTGTTGATCACTGGATTGTCTAGTTCTGACTCGATCTTTTACAGACCGCCGCCATATAGCTGGAATATTGCTGAGTGCGGCGTTAACCAACAACCAAACCAAATCACATCAGTGGAAGTGTATTCTATGACTGCTGTTACATAACAGGCACCACTTGCACAAAGCGATCTTCGCACTACAATGATCATAACTCAGCAGTGTGATCTTGTGTAAACTTGACCATACATGACACTGAACTCTAATCACTGAAGCACTGTAAAAGTTAACTGTTTAGTTACATTGCTTATCCTAATTCACAGAATTTGTCAGTGTACTGCAAAAACAAACAGGATGTGTTCAAGAGGCGGAATACAGCTCCTACCTGCGGACTGAGACAGTGAGCGCTTCTGAGGAACTAGCACACGGACAGATGGCATCGGCCTTCAAGCCTTTGGCCTGGAAAGCACTTAGGAATGAATCACAGGATGTTAAAGACCCTGAAACAAACAAAAGATCATTCAGTAAACAAGCAAGACAGAATCAGTCACCATCAGGCACATACTGCTTCCACAAGGCATTCTTTTCATCAAGTTGTTGATCTTTTAGCAATGTTAGTGGCATTTGGATTTTAGCTACTTATAGGCTGTGTTAATAGGATAGGCTTAAGACAATTGTAAATATGTATATGGAGTGATTCCTTTGAAAAGAGTTTCTATAGTTTTCAAAATGCCTTTTACTTTTGATCTACCTATTATGTACTATAATTATAACTCATGATATGACCTTGACTGTTTTTCTTCCACTTAGAGAGAGAATTTTAGGATGCATATTTTGTATAATGATTTGGATGACATATTGCAGATACCTCCTTCATTCATATTGCAGAAAAGGTAATAAATCTTGAATCACTTTTTCATGACAAAATGCAAAAATAATCATGAATGACTAAACAAGGAGACATCTGGAAACTTACAGAATACAGAAAGGCCATGAGTATACTTACAGGGGTTAGCACCGTCAGCCACAAGGAGCATTCGTAACGAGGTAAAGCTGATGTCTTTGTGGTCCTTCTGTGCCAACAACCCCCAGTGCATGTCTCTCGACTTCACCACCGCCACACACGCTGCAACAAACATGTCCGTCAGCTGCAGCCGCTGCACCATTCCAGTGTTATTGCATCAATATTATATCGCTATAGGATACAGCCACTGAAAAGTTGCTCTAATGTTGTGAAGACTGATATTTCACGTCATTGTTTAACATTGCAAACACACATTGTTTGATCATATGCAAGTTAATTCGCTTCTTTTTACCTCTATCCATATTGCTACACGCTGAAGCTGACAGTGGGGACTGCTATTTATTTTACTTGTTTTACAGAGCTTTTTTAAAAATCACGAACCTCTGAATGAAATTACAACTAACTCAGCACAACCATTATTCTAAGCAATCCTAAACAGGACAGTCAGAGGTGTAAAAGGTACTCTACACAACCAATCATTTAGGGGCCAACGTATCAGCCATGTCAATCTGTAATCAATGGTAACAGTTTTAACACACGAACTCTCTCACAATTTACATTTCACAGCTTGATATGTATTAACTTCATAATTGAAATATATTAAAAGTCTTCTCAGGGGTAAAAGTTGTTTTCTCATAGTCTTAATCATATTCAACATTTGTAAAAGCCATGTTATCATAAGAACCATTCCTGGATAGGACAGTTGTCACTCTACCTTTGTATTTTGTAACCATCTTCATCCAGGATGCTGGGTCCACCTTCATCAGGGAGTAGGGAATAAATATCACATGCATTCCATTAAATACGCTCTGAAAAACAAAAGAAATGCTGAATGAGTAGAGTTTTAGTATATGGGTTGTAACACTGCTAGGCATGCATGATGGGAACAAAATGAAAGAGACATTTACCAGTTCGAGGAAACCTCTAGAAACAAGTATTGTGCTGTCCGACTTGTCCGAGTAATGTAATATTCGAACACAAGATTTGACACGTACACTCTTAAAGGACATAGTTCTGCAGATGAGAACTAACAAGGAGAAAAATCTGACATTGTATTGTAATAAATTTAGTCTAAAGTGACACAACACTGAAATTCAAGAACATCAAGATCCAGTCACCTGGACAACCCCACCCGGACAATCCCAGTCTCAGAGAATGCCCTCTCTACTTACACAGAGGATTCCGTGCCACAGCCCTACATCCCTCTTGAAGTCCAGCACACACACCATCACTTCGCCTAAAACAGAAAACAAATACATCAAGTTTCATAATGTGGTTACATTGCTAACAGCTTATTCACGAGGCAAACCAAATGTAAATAAATCCAGTAAAATAATTGTCAAAATAAGTAATTGTGAACCTTTCTATACAGACATAATCAGGAAGATGGAAAGCAAATCACCAATCATTTAGAAGAGTTCAGCATATCAAATGGACCCACTTGCACAAATTGAACATAATACTACAGGTGTGTACTACAATACTTGATGAAATACAGTTGCTCACCTTCGGAGTAGTTACAGCCGACGGTGAGAGTCCGACAGTGGCAGAACATGGTGTTCCTTGTGACTGTGACACCCACTGTGCTGCCGTCTTTGTTTATTGTGTACTGAATGCAAGACAATCAACACTCAATAGATGTACTCAATCACCTTTGACACAGATTATGGTTATTCTCTAAGACAAAACTTGGTTGACTGTTTCTTGAAGAACAGTCAGTTAACAGAAAAGTAAGAGTGGGAAGGTGATATGGCGACAATGCTGCTTTTAACAGTGGTAAAGTCATATCACAGGATGTTAGCAAAATGTGGTTAGAAAAGTCCTTGGTGGTGTAAGTCTCACCATTTTGGTGAAAACCACAAGCACTGGTATGGAAAAGTATTAAGAATCTCACAAAAATAGTTGAAAAACAAAAGAAAAAACTTTGTTAGAAATTGTTTCCAAAAAGCTGTGAAAGTATTACACTTAGTTATCATCATTAGGAACGGTTCTTTGGTGATTCAAATCTATGACCAGCGGATCCTGGTATTGCAAAGGGAGACAACTCAGTCTACTCAACCTACCATGTCCCCAACAAAAGATCATGGAAATCTCATGACAAATCCAATACTTACTTCAATATATGCTGGCACATCTTCTCCCTTGGAGGGCGGCTGCCAGTCTTTGGTTGGTTTACTCAGATTTTCTGTCACAAACCAGTTCAGCTTCGGCCAACCTGTTGAGACAGACATAAACAGCATCAAGGCAAAGAGCCTAACTGTCACATGCATATCTCACTTTCAGTGATTTTTACTATATTCCAGGGTGTCGTTGTACAAAGCGATCTTAGCGCTAAGGTGACCGTAACTCCCATACCTTAACATAGACTTAAGGTAGTCTTAGCGCTAAGGTTGTTTTGTACAACGGCACCCAGTTTATCTAAGGAGCTGAGTGTCCCACCACAAGTGGATGCTTTACTCTGATAAGTTTGTCTTTGGAGCCGAGTATCCCATCACAAGTGTTTATTTCATTGCTTTTGTCCAGGGTGCTCCCTCCACTTGCTCATGACTTGTCGGTATCTCTTACCTTTAAAAGTGATGACCTCTCCACTACTGGACTTTGGAAGCCCTTTGAAGCAAGCCTCAGATGTGAGTGCCCAGCAGACACTCAGGCTGCCTAACAGGAAGCCAACACCTGCTCCACCCGCATCCTGTATCCATGGCAACAGCATAAGACCATTAATACATGAAATTCACATTTCACCAATCACATGATATCAACATACAACTGAAACAGCAACACCATCAGATCACGCGACCTGCACATATTCTCATCAGTGAACTTACTCAAACCAATTTCTCTGGAATATATATATATAACTAGAATACTTTCACTTCCAGACTGAGTGTGACGTATGATGGACTGACCAGGTGCAGTGGCAGATGCAGCAGCAGACAAATAACACGTAACTGGACAAAACTAATCTAATTTGACACAAACATACAAGTGCTTTCTCCTCTTGTGTCTAATACTGCTTACAATGCTGCACACAACACGTCATCTTTACTTCTCCTCTATGAGAAACACAAATAGACGATCAGTATCAGATACTGGTTCACGATGTAATTACACAAACCATTACCTCCACCAATTACTTCTGTCAAATATCAATAATCTGCAGACATCAACTACTCACAGCCCTATGATTGCATTCTAAAATGTCTACCAACAAAAGAAGCCAAAAGCACAGATGCAGTGCGACCTTACATGTCTATCACTGACCCTCTTTGTAAGAGGAACCTCGACGGGGGACCGGCACCACACCCGCCATCACACAGCCGTAGAATGCACAGATGAAGGAGATAGGGTCATTGTTGGGATACACTAGCGCCACCTGTTGACAACATCATCAGTCAGGGATCCAACACTTTTCATGCCACATTGCAATCACTTGTTTTCATACTAACATACCTTTACAATCCCAGAAAACAAACTACATTACTGATAATCCTTCTCTTGAAAATAAAATATTTCCATGACTTCACGTAAATTCATATTTCCTAACACTGAAATTAGATGAGTGAGTGAGTGAGTTCAGTTTTACACCACACTCAGCAATATTCCAGCTATATGGCGGCGGTCTGTAAATAATCGACTCTGGACCAAACAATCCAGTGATCAACAGCATGAGCATCTATCTACGAAATTGGGATACGATGACATGTGTCAACCAAGTTAGCGAGCCTGACCAACCGATCCCATCAGTTGCCTTTTACGACAAGCACGGATTACTGGAGATCAATTCTAACCCGGATCTTCACAAGTTCTGTATTAGAGGGACAATATTCAGTTAGCTTCATATATGATTTGTGAAGCATTAGAAAAATTTCAATTTTCAATTTTCCTCATAAAAGGAATCAAAATCCATATATTCATTCTGAATATGGAATACAGCTTTAAGCATATATGAGACATAGAACCCCACTGAATGTATGCCCATCCTCACCCTATCTCCTAGTTTTATGCTCATTCCTTCCTTGTGGCCCACTTTGTGCAACAAGTTGAAAGCAATTTTCTGAGTCCGACTCAGAAGCTTGCCTGGAACAAAGAAACATTTCAAGTTAAGCTTGCTTTCAGTATGTGGATCCAAGATAAAAAAGTAAGTGGCATGTTTGTAAGTGTTGACGGGGAGCCCTAGTCTATACTGGACTCAACTCTATTTGGGATAGACAAGAAGAAGAAGCCAGGAATGTGTCACTTAAGATCCCAAGCCCTAAAATCAGTTTCCAAACTGAAGAACCCATCATTGTTTCAAAGCAAGGAAAATGTTGCAAAATAGTTAGTCACAGATCATAATAATTATGGAAGATTTCACATCACAAACAATGATATTATTAATATCATAACCTGCACTCTAAAAAGTAAAACTACCAAACAAAGTGTCACATTTTCTAATATTAAACACTGGACTTTCCATGTTGAGCTTAAACGTCAGGAGCATCACCCACAGTATACTGAGGTGGCTCCATAGCACTAGTTAAGTTGAAGGCAATTTCTAACGCAGGTCTGTGCCGGAGATACTTGTAAACAAAGAGCCATGGCACAAAATTTTAAAACAAATAGTCTATCTTGTGAGATTTGTGAAACAAAAGTCACTTTGTCATTATCAATCCTAAATGGTTTACAAATGAAATTCCATGTCACACGATAATATAGCTTTGGGCCCATAACTACTGATGACCCTTAACACTGCTACCCGTGATTACATCAAGCATAGGTTGAGGACATGGTAGTTGTGTGGTGCTACTACTGACCATATGTGAGATTGTAGGAAGGTTTCCCATGCTGGTCCAGCACGGTGACGGCGTTGGCCTTGAAGCTGGAGGAGCCATACCTCTGCAGGGCAGCCTCCAGGTTGTGGGGGAGGCCTGATGGAATCTGGGGGAGTGGGGGAGGAAGCTTATGTAGTAAGGCAACAAGTGAGCTGGTCGGCAGGGTCTAAAGCTGCTTTCTACAGTGATTCATTTAGATAATGTATCTCAGCTCAATGCAGCTGGAAAGCATAAACCTGTTATGATCTTGAAACAATTGTTTTTCATCAGATTCCTAAACTCTGAACAAGACCTCAAATATGGAGACATAACTGTCCAAGTGATTAATGATAATCTTTGAAAGTTCTAAAGTCTTTTTGTTGAATAAAAGCTTAACTATTTAAAAGTAACAAGGCTTTATTTATACCATTCATCTTGACCCCAATAACACATTAGGACACATTAGAAACATCAAAGAAAGAAGACAGAGCTTTGTATTTTAACATAATGAGCATACCACAACCACATTATGCCTGAGTGCTAATGACAACTTACCACTAGCTGTTCTCCTGGTACTGGAGTCAGTTCATTTCCCTCTGGTTTGGGTGCATTAGGATCAGCAGTAGGCACTGGTACAATAGAACAAACATACAGCACACAGTCAGCATATTACCTCAGAATCACAGTCACTATTATGCATTCTCCTACAACCACAGTCACCATTATGCATTCTCCTACAACCAGTCACCATTATGCATTCTCCTACAACCACAGTCACCAATATGCATTCCCCAAGGATCTGTCAACATTATGCATACCCACACAATCAGTCGCCATTATGAGTTCCCCCAAAATCAGTCAGCATTATACATTCCCCTAGAATCAGTCAGCATTATGCACATCCACACAATCAGCATTATACATTCCCCAAGAATCAGTCAGCATTATACATTCCCCTAGAATCAGTCAGCATTATGCATTCCCCTAGAATCAGTCAGCATTATGTATTCTCCTTTAACCAGTCATTCTACACATTGCCATCATATAATGGTCATCATTACACAAGGAAACAATGCATCATAATTAGCAGCATACATGCCCCAAGATTATGTGTTGTAAAGAAATCATATTCTATATTCTGACTTTCAAATCTATCTGCATGTATAAAACACAAAATATCCCTTCCATGGTAGAAAAAATTCTTTAATGCACAAAAACTTCAAGTTTCACCATAGAACCGGTTGGGTAAACCACTCAACATATCCTATTTTCACTGAAACCCAAACATCATCAAAATTTGAATAAAAAAGTTATAGACCTTACATGTTACATAACTTTAAACAAGAAAATCTGAATGACAGCCAACTTTATCAGTAAATGACAAGAAACTACAAGAAACACAAATATACACAGCAGCTGAGAATCTCACTTTCTAAAGTGTGTTCATCCTCGTCCATGAAATACTCCTTCAGCGGTCTTCTCTTGGGTCTCTGTAAAAAGGACATACCACTACAAACACAGCCCAGATCCTGAGATAAAACAACCACCATTAGCAAGAGAGAGATACTACACAGTAAAAATGTCACTTTTCTTTAAAGGGAAACAAATAAATTATTAATCAAACCATGATAAATATCTGTAATGCTTCCTTGGTCCCAGACAACTTGGAACTGAAGAAGACTAGTTGGTCTGTTCACAGTTATACATTGCATGTCTAGCTGATATTTAGAGTACTTCTCATTACACAGGGTGTCAAACATTGACAGAAGATGTTTCCAAATAAAACCGGTTGGGTAAACTATTTATCAGATAAATGTCAATATTTTCTTTATTCCCTTCAACCCCAAGTCTATTTTCATTTGTCCTGCATGTCAAACAAGGGATGTGTATTTCAATGTGCTTTTTCACTTTATTATTGTTTTTCTTCCTTGTAATGACTGCCTTGCCTATTCACCTTCTGGGGATGTATATCCTTATCTTATCTGTCATAAACGAAAGAGAGAGCACCTGATTTCTGAAAGTAAATCTTTATTCCTTCTCTGATTTTGTGTCAAACCTCACAATGACAACAAGGCCTTTTTGAAGTAACTCTTACCTTGAGAGTATTTAGTAACTGTTGAATTTTAGCTGATACTTTTCCATGTCGAGGCCCTGCAAGAGAGTCAATCATGGTGAAAACTGACAACTACAACTTACCTCACTTGGGATGAACTGGGATGACGTTTATATACATCAATGTTTCAACACTTAGAAATATGGCACTTTTAACATACAATATTTGCAAAATAAAGTAGACGTTTGCATTTATCAAAACACTAAGATGTCTTCATTAAAACCCAAATATTCCCAGCATTTGACATTCAAGTTTTTAAGACAATGAGTGATATCGCCTATATATCTCATGTGTTTATTGAAGGCAAACTGGTTACCAGGGTGCCGTTGTACAAAACAACCTTAGCGCTAACGACAATCGTAATACTTGATAAGGTATGGAAGTTACAATCACCTAAGACTGCTTTGTACAATGGCACCCTGGGTGGTCACTGATGTCCGGATGACAGGACACACTGAATCAACTAATTCCTTTCAGGTCCAGATACTGTCAAAACTGAGTCATGACTGTGGTCATATTCTACAGGCTATTCTAAATATTCTGTCAAATTTCAATTAAATCTTAATATACTCTCAAGTGCTGTTCTGAAAATGAGCCCACACCATAGTATGAAAAGCATATGTTTGTACCATCATCCTCAACGCCAGTGACGTTGCCTGTGGTGGTGATGCGGACTGAAGACTGGTTGTAGCGCCCGACGCGGTCAGCTTGGCGGAGACTCTTGGCGTTGTTCGTCACATCGGGAGGCTGAGATATATGATGTGCTGGAAGTAGATAAACCATAGTTTGAGTACTTTGTTGAATAAAAAGTCCAGCCTTTCACCTGACAAGAAAGTGCACTATCTAGATGGCAACCCAAACATCACAAATCAGAATATGCAGCCACAAGAGCCATGGTCCCATCCGAGGGAGGAGAGACAAGATTCCTTTATAAGCTCTTATGCAACAAACAGGTGGTCAGATATTTATTGGTTTACAGAACATTTTGTATTTCTTGTTTTGATTATTAAGTTCTTTTTTCTAAAGGGGAATTTACAAGTCTTATTCACACATAAAATCCATTCCATATGACCCCAAACTAAAGAATGATTGTCATCTGACCTGCATTGAGCATTATTCCTACCATATAGAAGCAGCACACATGTAACGAGGAGACAAACTAGAGGTTGATAGCATGAGTACCACCTGATCCTAAACAGTAAGCTCTCTCCAGAAACACTTTATGATAAGGGCCCAATGTTCTTCCCTAAAATAAACACAACTCACAATGTCTGGAGTTCTGCATGACATCTGCTAGAGCATGTCTGGCAGTGTTTCCTGGGATGATGAAGTTGCCAAACTGCTGACTGCGAGGACGCTCCTGGGCTTGGTGATGGGGGGATGCACCAGCATCGGAGTACGAGGAGGAACTAGCACCGCTGTCACGACTGTTGCCTCCTCGCTGGAAGCCCCGGGAATGGTCCTCGTCAAAAACACTGTCATCATCATCAGAGGAAGAATCTAAAGTAGCAAGAAAGATTGAATTATGTACATTGCTAACTGTGCTCACACTAGTCTGAATCCTGAGTCTACTAAGACAACTTGACATTGAGTCCTGACAAACTTGGGCACCACCCACTTGTTTCCACCCCTGTTCAGTGAACCAAACATGACACCAGTCTCCATGGTAAAATGTGTCATCATATCACTGCAAGCACGGGACTCTCCTACATGAAATTAATGATGTACTGACTGACTGAGTATGGTTTTACGCCGTTTTTAGCAATATTCCAGCAATATCACGGCGGGGGACACCAGAAATGGGCTTCACAAATTGTACCCATGTGGGGAATCGAACCCGGGCCTTCGGTGTGACGAGCGAACGCTTTAACCACTAGGCTACCCCACCGCCCCAATTCATGATGTAACATACATTACATGGCTGATGATACACATCACTGTACGTAAGTAGTCAACTGTGCATAACATGTCAATTTCATGAGCAATTCTACGCCCCAAATGACAATTTAACAACCACACTACAAACTACAGTTTCTGACCCATTTCCTCGGACACTGTCATGTAATATGTGCCATGTCTGAAACTGATACATCGTGCCTGTGTTATTTTGGTTATTATTCACTGTTAGAATGATACAGACATAAAAACATTGGAGTCTGCAGCAGAAAAACCGTGTAATTGACTTGCAGCCAATTGGCCCAAGCATACATAACTTTGTGCATATTGCTGTAGTTTTTGTAATTTTTTTAACCACCAATATATTCTTCCAAATACATTGAGACATCCCAATCATTACATATACATTAAATAAATGAAGAAATATGAGCTCTAGTATTACGATGCATCCATGACCATCATCTACAGCTACATTGAAAGTTACATAAAATCTACTTGTGTTCCAAGTATCTATACTACTAACAAATTAATGTAAGAAAAGATAAAATTATGGTGAAGGTGAAAATGTCTGTACAATTATTTTCCGGTATTCAGATCAGTGTCTCCTGTGCCCATATGTTGATTGCAACTTGCATATGGCTGCCTTTGGTATCACCAGTGTGAGGAGCGACCCCAAAGAGGGCCACGATGACAGGGTGCTCAGTCTCTGCCCAAAACAACATCCCACATATGCTCTACTGGGGATATGAAAAGAACTTAGCAAGCTGGTCCAATTTCCATATGCATTATTGTTGGAGATGTTTGGTCATGGCCTGTGTGCCATTGTACAAAGTGATCTTAGCACCAAGGTGATCGTAACTCCGATTAATTAACTTAGACTTACAATTGGCGTAGCACTAAGGTTTAGGACAATGACTGTCAAGTTGCAGTTCAAAATTTCTGGAGAAATTTCTAGCAAATGGAAAACAGCATGATGCTGGCCAGTAAAATGTCCATTCACAATAACCAATTCAGTTGGCCCATCATGTGTGACCACTACCCACACCATTTCACAGCCACCCCATATAATACTGGTCAGGGTTGTTGCCCTAGCATACCCCTCACCACTTTGTCGCCGATAACTGACTGACTGACTGAGTTTGGTTTTACGCCGCTTTTAGCAATATTCCAGCAATATCACGGCGGGGGACACCAGAAATGGGCTTTACTCATTGTACCCATGTGGGGATTCGAACCCAGGTCTTCGGCGTGATGAGCCAACGCTTTAACCACTAGACTACCCCACCGCCCTGTCGCCGATAACACTTCCTTTCATCAGTGAATTAGCAGCAAAACTTAGATTCGTCTGTAAACATTTTATGTTGCCATTGTGCACAGCCCGTCCTTGGTGTTATCTGGCCGACACAAATCATTGTCTGTATAGTAAAGCTGTTAGGATCACACCTTTCACAGGCGCCTTGCTTTCAGACAAACTATGGTAGATGTTGAAATTTGCCTTCCTGTTATTTTACGGAATTCTCTATTGATACCAAAGAAATTTAACTTTTTAATTTGCCAAACAATCATTCAACTTGGGATGTTGGCGTCAGACCCCGCATCTTCTGTACCCACAATTTGCCATTCCCTTCGATAGTGTCTCAGGGACATTTTTAAGCGTGTGCTTAGCTCAGTTGCATTAGGGGTTGTCAGTTTTATGTAGTGAGTGTGTATGGTTTTACGCCGCTTTTAGCAATATTCCAGCAATATCATGGCGGGGAGACACCAGAAATGGGCTTCACACATTTCAAATGATTACATGAAGTCACATCGTGGTCAGATGTTGCATTCAGATGCAACACCAGAGTTCCACCTCAACAACAGCTACATCAAATCATTAACTCCCTTATTTCTTGTCGGTGGTATACGTCACTGTTGCTATCAACACCACCTGTTTGGCTTGTTTTGTTGTAAGTGCCAACTCTCTGTGTGAGGACACACAAATCAAGACTCGAAACAATTTGGATACACATTCTCAAAGGTGCGAGACTTAACACACATACAGATTGAGAAGGGATGGATGGCCTTTTTCACAAATTGCTTCAAACATTTTTTTGTTTTCACAAAAAAAAAACATTTCACATTTCTTTTAAGTAAATTCTTAAAAGTACAGCAAGCCTTTTGACATGTTTGAAACAAAGAAAAATGAAACATGTCAGGATTAGGATTATTTCTGTTCCTAAAATCATGCCTATTGACCAACACATACACCTTTTCAAAACTGAAATAGTTCATATCTGTGGCAGTGAGAGAAATATATTGATCTCAAAATGTGAATTATATTCTACATGTTTTTAAATGTCCATTGATCCAATAACCAAGTCATTACACGACGCCTCACAGGTATTCATGAAGTTCAGGAAACCCTTTTTACCCCTCATCTGAATGCCACTTCTGGACTATGGTAAACATATGGCAATCGTACCCATGCCAGTAATCTCCTACTGAGTTTTTAAGTCTTCAAACATCTGATTTAAGCACAATTTAAATGATAAAATTTATGATAAAATAAATCAAAGATTAATTTGAACAGTCATTTCTTTCCCTGGAATGTCATATTTGAATAGTATTTCTACATCGCTTTTATTTGTTTTATGCAGTATTATCACTCATTCATTTCTCCCTTCCTCACTCACTCACTATCAACATTCATGCAAGTGATGAGGAAACAGGGAAACCATCCTTAGGAACAGCAGAGTTCAACTGTATAAATATACTTGGATGTAAAATACAAATTGTTTTAATAATTGTAATAAAATTGTTCTTGAAAATGAAATGGTAATGTTCCAGTTTTGATTTATTTTTCCCAATGTGCTTATGACAATAATTGGCAATGTTGTCTTTTAATTTGTTCAAACAACATCCAGCACTTCCTAAAACTGCTACTATTTGCATAAATGAAATTATGAGAAATTTTCAAAGCCTGGTCTTTTCTATCAATACGCAAATATTGGCAGAGAATTCACACAACCATGAGGAATTTGGGCAACAATGACAAAACTTGTCTTCATCAAGTAAATCTGGAATATTAACATACAACATGCACCATTAAATCTGCCCAATATTGACAGACCACTGTCAACAACTATCAAAATAATATATAATTTTGTCTCAACACAATTACTAATGAATTGTCACACATTTGGACATATTTTCAAGGTTTTACTTACAAAATAAGAACAAAACTTACTAAATGGTATTCCCATCTCCAAATTCCTGTTCAACACAAATGCAGACAATTTTCTAACCGAACGGTATGGTAAACGAACAAGTTTACCAAGAAAGGGACAAATCCTCACAAACATTTACAATGAGGCCATTTTGGGTCAGGGCAAAAGAAAATGTTCCTAGATCAATACAAAACAACTCTTTCTCTGTGTGGCAGCTCTTCAGCTTACGAGATCATGGTTTCTTCTTCGTATTACGCGCTATTAGCAATATTAACATCAAACAGTGACTACATCTCTCATAGGTGGGGACACAGCGCACTCTGACAACTCAGCTGTTGACTAAAGGTTGGAGAGAGATGGTTTTTATAACTATAAACATTTACATTCATTTAAAACGGAAGGACACAAAGGTGTCTAATTGATTTGTGGAGCATTATCAAGTCAGAGGTGGCAACAACTCAGTTTCTTGTGAAGGAAGCTGTATGTACATGGGTATTTTTTCATCTTTACTAGAACCGATGAATTATCAATTTGTAGATCAATCAGATTATAAAGACGCTGTGGGGGCTATCATTGTGAGATACAAGGTAATTCCACAGACTCCAGTCATGAGACCTACCCTGACAGGGCTATCATTGTGAGATACACGGTAATTCCACAGACTCCAGTCATGAAGACCTACCCTGACAGGGCTATCATTGGGAGATACAAGGTAATTCCACAGACTCCAGTCATGAAGACCTACCCTGACAGGGCTATCATTGGGAGATACAAGGTAATTCCACAGACTCCAGTCATGAGACCTACCCTGACAGGGCTATCATTGGGAGATACAAGGTAATTCCACAGACTCCAGTCATGAAGACCTAACCTGACAGGGCTATCATTGTGAGATACAAGGTAATTCCACAGACTCCAGTCATGAGACCTACCCTGACAGGGCCTTCATTGGGAGATACAAGGTAATTCCACAGACTCCAGTCATGAAGACCTACCCTGACAGGGCTATCATTGGGAGATACAAGGTAATTCCACAGACTCCAGTCATGAGACCCTGACAGGGCTATCATTGTGAGATACACGGTACATGGATTCCACAGACTCCAGTCATGAGACCTACCCTGACAGGGCTATCATTTGGAGAGATACAAGGTAATTCCACAGACTCCAGTCATGAAGACCTACCCTGACAGGGCTATCATTGGGAGATACAAGGTAATTCCACAGACTCCAGTCATGAAGACCTACCCTGACAGGGCTATCATTGGGAGATACAAGGTAATTCCACAGACTCCAGTCATGAAGACCTACCCTGACAGGGCTATCATTGTGAGATACAAGGTAATTCCACAGACTCCAGTCATGAAAACCTACCCTGACAGGGCTATCATTGGGAGATACAAGGTAATTATAGTCATTACAGTGGTGAAACACAAGGTAATTCCGGAAACTATACTGACAGGGCTATCATTGTGAGACAATAGTTAATTTCCAAAGTATGCATACTTTTTTCTTGAATTCTGCTTTATTTATAATGACTTCTCCCTCTCAAGTTGAACATGGGGATAACAGACATGGATGGCAATACATATACTTCTATGTGTGAATCCAAACAGTGTTATAAAAGACCCTCTTCTCAACGTTGTAATAACTCTGTTTCAACTGACACCTAATATGTGAGGAAATCTGCAAATACAAACGTAGAACTAATGTAAACGTCCCTGCAGTGACATAACCAATGAGACGTTTTCCTCCTTGCATGTAGACAGCCAAAGCACACTGATCAATACCAAAGACCTCTACACACAGGACAGCAGAGCCTGGTCCAGCACACACCAACACACACAGCAGAGTCAACTCCGTCAACACTTTGTGTCCCTTCACACACCTGAAGCTATCTACATCACATTCTTAAAGAAATTAGATCATTGTTTTTGTCTAATATAACATTACTGACTAATACCTACAACATATCCAGGAGATATAATGATGCATTTATCATTTAGACACAAACATACAAACTCATCAATGAAAACAGGGTGTTCCACTATTAATCAAGAAAATTGTTGAATGCCTTAGATTCTCAACATTACATCGTCAGAAGAAGAGTTTACCCCTACCACTTGATATTCACACACATTGACAGAACATTCAGCCAATATCAATTACAAGTTGAAAAACGGAAGGATAAAAATAAAATGATAAAAAGTATAGTTTATTATACAAAGACAAACATTTTGTGCCATTAAATTCACAATTCTAAATCCTGAGTCAAATTTCAAGGAATGTCAAGACAATATTTTCCAAGAGCATGATATTTTCTATTACTGATCATTTTACCAAACATCTGCATTATCAATACAATCACATCCATTAAGTATTCAAAAAGGAAACCCAACAGCCAAATGCCAACATCACATTAAACAGACCCAGTTGAGGACCTAAATGCTAGTAAATTCCAGTATTTTGCTTAGGCTAGTAATTGTAACTAATTCCTTCAGTGTAGTGATTAGTTCCACACAAAAACAAACACACAGCATCTGGCACAGCATCACACGTCACATGTAGTCAAATGACAAATATTCAGAACTTCAATGTCCAAACGATTCAGATGATCAGTTTCCACTAAGACATTTGCTGAAGACTGTAAAATATTTTTCACAAGAAAGTGAAAATCTACTGTGTCCAAACAGCAGGGAAAACAATGTTTGCAGTGTTAAAGATTCTTCACCTTCACCTCCGATCTTATTCTGACAAATTGATTAAATGACACCAACCTCCGAGCACCAAACAGTTAGCTCCCAAGAAATTTAAATGATTTTATCTAGTCAAACACTCTAGTCAAAATCTCTTGAATGTACATCATTTTCAGTAAATCTCACTGGTTTCAGATCATCATCATCATCATCATCATCATCATCATCATCATTATCATTATAATTCAGCATTATCGTTATCAGCTAAGTTAATCAGATCAAACTATAAATATTATTATGGATTTTATTCTTGTCACAAGGGGGAGATAAATGGATTGGGAGGTCACGCACTGTGACTTGGTCTATTACTAGTGAGCATATCCCAACTGTATGGATCAATGGTGATGTTTCATCACTCCGTTGTCTGGTCCAGGCTTCACTATATACAGATCACTGTTACTGCTGTAATACTGCTGTGTACAGACTTAGCAAACACAGAAAGGTACAAACACTGGACCGAACATCATTTCACAAGCATCAGGCTTCAGTCTGTTGGCTTAAGTCACAGAAAGGTAAAACATAATACAGCTTGAGTCAAGTTCTAAAATCATATCAAAACATAAAACTGTTTGATCAGATTTGTAAAATGGATATTAGCAGCCACCTATTCACTACCAGTTATTCATGATCTAGATCTTGCCTGATATTTTCACAGTGAATCTGATAGAATTCAAGCTACCAATAGTATTGAGATATTTAGCAAATCAAATTCGACGACCATGAGTGAGCACTTTGAATATTTTTTCAGTAACACCAAGCACTTTGAATTTTTTTCAGTAACACCAAGGCATGTTAGCTTCATGTGGAAAGAAAGCCCAACGTTCTGCTAACCTTAGATATTTAGTTTTTAAGGTGAAAATCAAACTTGCAGAGATGGTTCAGACAAACTTAGAAAAACAATTACAGGAAATCTGTGACTGGCACAAGTCTCCTGGCACAACCAAGGGAAGCAACTCTGTACAGCAAATCGCAGCATCTGAATTGCCATGGCCACCCTTCCACAAGCACAGACTCAAGTAGTCGAGGTTATACCAAGCCAAACATTGTGTCCACTCAATCCTCAATGTAGTTCGTTGTATAAACATGTATAGTGTCCTGTGGACCTATTTTCCCCCAGAATCTCCGCAGGTTGGTATGGGAAGGTGCACATTAGATCCTTGTGCCACTGCTTACATACATATCTCAGGCATGTTATACATTATGCTTTAGTCAGGGTTATGATCAGTGCCCCACACTTTGGGGGAAATGTTGCAGACAGGTCACTCTAGGAAATCCGTTCCAGTATAGACAGAATCCAGCATGATCACTAGACCGCGATTCTGGCACTTTCTCCCAAAATCTAGTTATATTGTATTTAAAAAATTAGAAACGGATAATGAACGTGTGGGATTTCACTAATGGTAATTTCCCTGGATAAATCACATGCCACAACCACACAGCCACTGCTATATTTTCTCTCATGAGAAGCAGGAGGAATCTAAGACGATTTGGCAAAAGCAAAACTCTCCTACCCATGTTATTTTTAAGACCAGGATCCAGGTGTTTTTTCCATATTTCTGCTAGACATTACCTTCAACCTCTGACTAATATGATCACATCAACAACAAAAACAAATATTTTTTGTACAGCCTTAATTTTTAAAAAACACAATAAATACTGAAAAACTTCTCAACAGATAATCCATGCAATGACAAATTAAGCATCCTTCCTTCCCATATATTCTGAAAGATGATCTAAATTCTATAGTTTCAGGACAACTACCATTTGAAAAGAATATCATACATTCAAATCACAATAAATGCACTCTCTAATTCAATGAATCCAGCTGCCAGTGAAATGTGCCATTCATTTGTATGTAGGTAGAAATAAGCCCACTGAATTATAATCAATACTTTCTCTTTGAGAAAGGTATAATAGAGCCAGTTTGATCTATGGAATATATATGCGAGACATGGTATGACAATTAGCAGTGTCATTGATCAGCTGTTACTGACGGCTGCACTCACTGTCGAAAGTTGTTTCACTTCACTACCAAGCAGGCAGGAAGTAGCAATCTTTACTAATGCATCATAAAGGTTCGAGAGGAAAAGTTGAAACGTTATTACATTTGCTATCAGTCTTTAAACTGAAAACAAAATTCCTTCAGTGGGTGTGGGCTTATCGTTACTTCTTGTCATTCAGGTGTCTGTGTGCTGGCAGAGATTGTTACAACTACAATGGTGGAGGTGTATCGGGACACAAGTAGTGTTGGGTGGTTTAGAGTGAGTTTGGTTTTACACCGCATTTAGCAATATTCCAGGAATATCACGGCAGAGACACCAGAAATGGGCTTCACACATGGTACCCATGTAGGGAATCGAACCCAGGTCTTTGGCTTGAGGGGCGAACATTTTAACCACCAGGCTACCCCACTGCCCGGGTGGTTTAGAAATATTCATGACAGAACATTCAAGAATACAATAATGGGCTTTACATGTATCTACAGAAATTGATACTAAAACATACTCCAAGTTTTTGGTAAGCCTTGAATCATTCACATTTGTGATTGGGGGCTGTAGGGTAGCCTTGTGGTCAAAGCATTCACTCGTCATGCCGAAGACCCGGGTTCGATTCCCAACATGGGTACAATATGTGAAGCCCATTTCTGGTGTCCCTGCCGTGATATTGCTGGAATATTGCTAAAAGGGGTGTAAAACCAAAACTCACTCATTTGTTATGGACAAATGTCCAATATTTTTATGCACTTTATTACCGTCACACTGTCTGTTGTCCCCCTCCCACACACACAACCAACAGCTGTTAACCTGAAGGACCGGACTGACCAGTTGATAATTACCTCCATGTCTCTCTCTCCTCTGCTGGCCGTGGTAGTTGACCGATGTTCGTTTCGACGGCAAGGGCATCACAGGAACACGCTTATTATGCATCGCCAAGGCCTGCATCACAGCCTCTGTTCGAATCTCTGCAATGGCACACCATACACTAGAAAACCATCCACAATGACAATAGCAGGACAGCACATTGTAACACACGGACCAAGCAGACAGACCATAAGCTGGGTCTTCAATGAACCATGCTGAACATCATCAGTAAGCTCTTCACACATTTTACATCATAAATCGGTCCAGATCAAAACCACACATAATTAGAATTCTACATAGTTGTATTTTTCTAATAGTTCTCTGGCCTTCAATGAAAAGGATACCATACTCTCCGTAATAAGCAATCCTGACAAAGGGAGGACTTAATGTGTTACGTTTGTTGTCAGTCATTAAGCAGTTGTAAACAAACTAGAACATTTTCTATAATAGCTACTTGCAATTATATTCAGCCATTTGGCATAATACCCATTCTATACTGATGTTTTTGTTAAAAATAAAATATCAACTGTCATATGAATTTTGGAATGGGTTCTAACAATAACATTTGTCACTTTAAGGTGAGAGGAAGGCCGAAATATTTGGAGGCAATAAATCATCAAACATGTCAACAAAGAATAATCAATTGATTTGGGACCAAGAGTCTAAATAAAAGGCATTTCATAAAGAGTTATCTCCCTTCCTACAGAATTCTGAGTGAGCTGGAACAAGGAGACTGCATATATGTGTGTATATTAAGGCCAAAGCTGAATGTAGATCGGCAGGTGAACGCCCACAACCACATACAAGATGATCACATTGTTTATGTAGCATGCACAAGAAGGATGATCAAAATGAGGTCAGCTAAAAATACATTGTAGAATTATTTAAAATAAATCCACATCCGTTTAGCAATGTGATAATCTCTTCCTTGTTGCATATACATTATGTCAATTAAAACACCCAACATTCATACAAAATAGTTGTTAGTTCAGAAACTTTCCATATTTGGGAAAACAAATGTCATAACTTTTTATATCACACATATTAATACATAAATTCGACAAATTTTGGCATTAATGTCATGACGATGATGATAGTAATACAGAACAAAACAACATGAACAAATCATAACAAATATTTCAAAACAGGCAAATAATTATCACAAAAATTACATCAAACAATCTCCAAAGAAATTACAAACTCAAAATTTAAGATTCAATGTAGGTTCTAATGTCCTTCAAAAGAGTCTGAGTTTGGTTTGGCCGGTAATGACCAGAATGCTTCACATGGGTTTGTTACAGTCAATAAAAACAAAATGAGAATAAGGTGTTAATTTCAACAAGAAATACAAACATTTCAACAGTCAACACCCCACACACATAGTTTCGATGGCATCTCACTAAATATTGACTAACAATTGCAGTGTCTCTAAAGCCACACACACACAAGCAAGATGGAGGCTTTAAAATACCTGATACTGTCTTGTCAAATTCTATTTAAAGTTTTAAATCTGTATCGCAATCATCAACATCATATTGAATTTCATATTTTGCTTCAGGTGACAAACGCTCTAACTTTGAGATTCCATTTCTGCTTCATAGAAAGACATTATAAAACAAAACATGACAAAACAAACGTAAACAACGATAAAACATGGACAAATATTTTTGTTTGAAATAAACATAAACAAAGAATTACTATTACACATGAATGGCATATGGCCCAATGTGTTGCTACTCAAAGGACACTGAATATACTTAAAAGTTCTAGTAATTTGCCACAAAGCAAAAAGTTGTTAGATAAATAAAAGTCAAAAAGCTGTTCGATTAAAATCAGAACAAACTTATTCAGTCAAAAATCTAAAATTGTTAGAATGTCTGTCATGACCTTAGAATCGACCAAAAAAGATTTCTGCAAACTTATTTGATCAAATTCAGAAAGTTTGTGAAAATATCAATTACCCTTCAACCAATGACATGAAAGTTTCCACACTAGCTATACATAACACCAGTATTTGTACTAGTATTCTAGTATTGATACTAGTAACAACAGGTGCCTGCCTCCCTGCTTACCGGAATGATATCGATTATCTTCTCGAGTTAAGCGACGTTGAGCTTTACGCTGTGCTGCTGTCGAGGGGCTTGGAGCGCTAGGCCCCTGGCCTACAAAAATTCAGGAAAAGTTCTCAGTTAAATCAATCTGTGACAAAACTGAAAAGAAACTTGTTCAGCTTGACCATCAACTGGCATCTAACACGTACCTAGGCTTGTTCCTGCAGATACAGTATGCACAGATGTTATCAGAGATAAGAAAGATCATCAAGCAGCAAGCTGCCATTTGAAAATCGGGAGAGAATTGGAAATTTGGCCACGTAATATTTTCCATGTCTTCAAAAATAGTCAAACAACTGAACAATGAAAACATTTATCTTCCAATATTTACATTTTTTATCTTTTCCTTTGAAACACAATGACAAGAGATGCATTTGAAATCCTATAAAAAAAAATCACAAATCGTAAACTCTCCTAGAAACCCAATCAAAAAATATTTACAATGAATACAAAAATATAATGCTATTTCTTTCTTAAGCTACATATATATGTTATTCAAAAATGTAATAACCATGTTGTGCCATCTTTATAGAAATTATTCTCCATCTTTGTTAATCTGAAAACATGGAAAAGAGAAAGAGCAATATCTCCGGTCGGTAAATTGGCTATATTTTAATCTCCAGGAATCCTGGTACCGATGATGAGATGACACTGACGGGAGGGGGAGGAGCCACAGCTATGTACCAGCTAGAGTGTCGGCATGCCCCGTGCATGCAAGGCAGATGTTTACATCAACTGTACACAACATGCATTTACACTTGACTTAGCACTTGGCCATTATTCTCATTCGTGAGAATCGACCTTCTCTTTATTGTATCATAAATTTTCCTTCCGAAAAGTGTACAAGTACAATGTTGCTTTAATCTAATATGTCAAACTGTTATTACAACATGATTTAGTCACAGTTGTCAATTAATAAAACAGTTGGTAACATCAAGCGCAATTACATAAAATCTGCCTAAAAATCAAAGAATTATTGCTAGTGTTGAAAGTGTAATATTTTGTCAGATTATCCAACATTATCCAACATTTTCTTTCGATGGTTTTGTGGGGCCGGATTATGAAATCCATACATTAGCAAGTGACACTGAACCACAATCCGTTCTGAAGTCACGCAGAAAGCAACAAAGCATTATTTACCCTGCTAAATGTGAACCAAATTATAAAAAATTGGAAACTGTTATTAGTACAGAAATTACAGGAAATATTAACGAGAAAGGGAAGTGAACTGCGGCAGTACTGGGATTAGCAGTGGCGGCGGCAGCAACAGCGTGCAACAAAGCCTACCTGGAGGCTGCTGCTTCACATAAGGTGTGAGGAGACGGGTCTTCTTCTTCTCATAACCCTTCCGTGTGATGTCACCTGAAACAGGACACAACCATAGTAGGACCATTGTAAACAACTGCTTATTTCATATCAGCTTTCCATAATATCATAGCATTCTTTCTATTTGTGTTTTGTTTTCTCGCTGTTGGTTTTGTGGTGTGTACATTTGTCATATAATGCCGCACTTAGAAATACTCATGCAAGTTAAAAGCAGCCTGTAAATTATGTATGAGTAGGGTACGAGCCACATTCAGCAATATGTCAGCAATATTACGATGGGGGACACCAAAAATGGGCTTAACACATGACAAAGTAACAATCGTATGGATTACGACTTCCTTATCCATATGGCGACAGTATTTAACTGATGGCATAAGGATCTACACCAAAACGTTGCCATTTAGATATTAAAGACGGAATCCATACAACTGCTATACCAACTTATAAAGATGCCTATCAAACAGGCTTAACACATTGTACCCATGTGGAGAATTGAATCGGGGTCTTCAGCGTGATGAGTGAACGCTTTAACCACTAAGCTAGCTCAGAGAGTCATATCATATCATTACTGATCAACAATTTATGCAGGCAAGGTCACCATTTACTACTGGCGATGGCATGCTGGTGTGTACGTGTTCAGATCCTTCTGCTGTGTGTATGTGTTCAGATCCTTCTGCTGTGTGTACATGTTCAGATCCTTCTGCTGTGTGTACGTGTTCAGATCCTTCTGCTGTGTGTATGTGTTCAGATCCTTCTGCTGTGTGTATGTGTTCAGATCCTTCTGCTGTGTGTACATGTTCAGATCCTTCTGCTGTGTGTGTACATGTTCAGATCCTTCTGCTGTGTGTATGTGTTCAGATCCTTCTGCTGTGTATACGTGTTCAGATCCTTCTGCTGTGTGTACATGTTCAGATCCTTCTGCTGTGTGTACGTATTCAGATCCTTCTGCTGACTGTATGTGTTCAGATCCTTCTGCTGTGTGTAGGTGTTCAGATCCTTCTGCTGTGTGTACATGTTCAGATCCTTCTGCTGTGTGTATGTGTTCAGATCCTTCTGCTGTGTGTAGTACGTGTTCAGATCTGTTTCTGTGTGTACGTATTCAGATCCTTCTGCTGACTGTATGTGTTCAGATCCTGCTGTGTGTACAGATCCTTCTGCTGACGTGTTCAGATCCTTCTGCTGTGTGATGCGTGTTATTTCTGTGTGTACATATTCAGATCCTTCTGCAGTGTGTTTGTGTTCAGATCCTTCTGCTGATGTGTACGTGTTCAGATCCTTCTGCTGTGTGTACATGTTCAGATCCTTCTGCTGTGTGTGTACGTGTTCAGATCTGTTTCTGTGTGTACGTATTCAGATCCTTCTGCTGACTGTATGTGTTCAGATCCTTCTGCTGACTGTAATTGTTCAGATCCTTCTGCTGTGTGTATGTGTTCAGATCCTTCTGCTGACTGTGTGTTCAGATCCTTCTGCTGACTGTGAGTGTCAGATCCTTCTGCAGTGTGTGTATGTGTTCAGATCCTTCTGTGTGTATGTGTTCAGATCCTTCTGCAGTGTTTGTACGCATTTAGATCCTTGTAGCAGTATCTCAAAGGGTATATGTACTTTTGTGTCCCTCGCTAAATTCTGTACAAGCTGAAGCTGGATGGGAGTTGTATCACAGAACCACACATACCCAATGTGATATTGTAACAACTCATAATGAATACCTGTAAAAGGCATGTGTTTCAGATCTCTTGTTATCTATAGCAAGTTTCATTCAATATATTCAAACACCTACATACTAAGAAAGTGTCATCCCAAATATAACATATGTTACCCACATGTTTGTCTCCTAAACATTCAATCAGTCTGGCTGCTAATTAGAACCCTAATTAAACACGGACAATGTCTCATTATATACATGGCAGCAGTAATTCTCATGTGAAGATGAGGAATTACATAATCACCAGAGTGTGAAGCACACTCCCTTTCACAGCCACTGAGCCACCAACACTCCTTCCAAAACAAGTACTAGTAACACTTCCTGCTAGATTCATACAATTAGCTCATTTTATTGACTTATTTATTAACATCCTACAGGTTTCATTTCAAATTTGTTACTAAAACAGAATGTCATTTTAGGAGTTGATATTATCAAGGAAGTGTCCGGATGCATCTTGTCAGCCTGTATCATGACACATCTAAACTGCAAACATTTCAGAATGCCATCTTGCCTTCAACACAAGGCAGAATGACTACCAGGCTTGGGTTAGTTTCTAGCTGTACCATTTGTACAAATTTCCAAAGAAAACTGAAAATATATCTAGCACCAATACAATATTTTCACTGTACAATAATTTCAAATCATGGGGACAAATTTTTATGCTGATACTGAGTGGAACTTCTGGCAAAATGAAGTAAACTTCACGTCCACTTTAACAACATAAGCAAACCATCATTCTAATATCAATTTCTACTCTCAAATTTCTAATGAATAATTTCTGCTAAGATATCTTTGATTTCAGGAAGGACAAAGCAATGGTGGCAATCAATAGTGCCTACTTCTCAAATATCACCAGTCTCACTATAGAATCCACTGGCAGACATCATGAAAAACACATTTTCAGGTTGTAAACCTCTAATACAAACTCAGGCTCAAAGAAGGTGTTCCCGATATGATTGATCATGACATGATTACAATTAATCAGAACTCATTGATTAATGGATCAATATCATACATAATACCTTTAGGGAATATTTACAAATGCAAGACATATTGGTCACCAAGATGTTATCTAATCGTTTTGTTGTAAGGGCATAAAAGTAAATTTAGCCAGCAGTGCAAACTGTACCTCTGATAACTCCAACATTTATGATCTGTGTAATTGAAATGGATCAGATTTTGAGTCTATCACCAAGACAACAATATCATCGATACTGCTGCAGCAAGAGTAGAATGCATGGGTAAGTTCCATCGTTTGGACAAGCACAGTGACAGTGACATACAGATAGCTGCAACTTCCAGTTGGGGGTTAGAGTTCATTCATTATCATATTTTGACACCTAGGTAATAACTCATATATACGTACATATATGCTAGATCATTCAAAACAGTCAAATTTGGTATTTCAGCAAATGTATCACTTCATGAAAATGAACCGTTTGTCAAGAGTTATACCACACGATCATGTAAGTGCTGCAACTTGCAATGAAAGGATTACCTCATTATAAAAGCTCATTTTAATATCAAGATTTTGCTTTTACCAATATGTTGCACTACATTTCATTAACATGATTACAACATTGCTGACATAAATAAGATAAATTGTGCCTGAGAGTTTGCATGAAGAAGTTAGGCACTGAAACAGCTGGAGATGAAACATACACCTGACTGGCACTTAATTAATAAAATGCATTACCATTCACATAAGTAACACAAATAAATCATACCAACACTGGGGACCAAGCTATATATATTGAAGGTGGCTTCGTCTGGTACAGATATGTAGCAGCAGCATGCTGTAAAATCATTACCATACAGACTCTATTAGTTCTACTTCAACCAGGAGCCATATGCATAGGATCAGAAACTGCTCCTGTTGGGCTTCATGTCCAGCAATGAAATGGCATGGTGAGATGGCAGAAGAAGAAGGAGGTTTGAGCTACAGGTGCAAATTTAAGTCGTTAGTCTTGTAAAAATTAAACAAAAGTCTCAAAAATCAAATGTTTGGCACTGCCTGATAATGCTTTATTGGTGTTTCACTATATATAATGAGAGAGTTGGGTTTAATGCTGTAGTGCAATGAATTTCAGATCTATCACAGAATGCTATGTTGAAGTCTAAGGTCACCCTAAGTAATTGGGTATTAAACATGTTCACCTTTCTTGAACCTGGAAAACCATAGGAACATAATCAGGGTGAGTGAGTGACTCAGTGAGTATGGTTTTACGCAGCAATATCACGGCAGGGAACATGGGCTTCACACATTGTACCCATGTGGGGAATCGAACCCAGGTCTTCGGCGTGATGAGCAAACGATTTAACCACTAGGCTACACCATTGCCCTCATAATGAGGGTGAACTGGGATTCAAACCCAGGATCACCCGTTTCTGGCACACAGTGAAACACGGCACCAAAGACAAGTGGGTTCTTCAGCTAATCCTTGTATCTTACAACTTGAACATGTACAATGTAGACAATGAATGCTCCCCATACAAACATCCTCCCTTACCACTGATGGGAACAATACATCAGTTGTATCTTTTTCTTTAGGACCCTCAGCTCAATGTCTCAACCACTTCACGCTGCTTTATTTAAAGCCTTTACATGTAGGTAATCATCCCTAAGTGTTTGTTTTGCTCATTTCAGATGTGTATCAACAGGGTTTCACTATTTAACCAGGATTAAATTCCTCACTCACAAACAGGATTTCCTTTTATTTGGAAATTCTATATCACAGACAATACATCAGTTGTTCTTTGTGTGTTAACTAGCTTATGAATAATATATCATCATTAAAAATTTATACCAAAATTGATAATATATTGATAGTTTATATCAAAACCTTATGCCTATTGATAAATTAATGTCTTAATATATTTTGTACCAAACATTTCATTACGTGGCCTATTTACACACTTGCATTTGTACAGTTCATGGTGTGGAAGCGAACGCTTTAACCAATAGGCTACTAGGCCGGCCTAGGTTCTCACATAAAACTTTAAGGAAGTTATTTCTCTGATCACTGCTGAAACTGATAATGTCTTGGTAATGTTTTGTCCCAGTGTTTTTATTAATAGTTTCAGGTGGATATTTTGTATATCTTCATATCAGTTGAATAATACTGTACATAATAATTAGAAATCATTACTAAAAATAATCCAAACCAATAGACAGTGGGTGGCATCGACAACAAAAAAATGCCAAAGTCTACAAGTGAAACAAGTCTCCGTTTCTCCATCCGCTCCTCCCTCCCTCGTCTGTATCCCTGTAGCCTCCCACCAGCTGACTGTCTGCAGTTCAGGCCACAGTGAGTCATTACCTATATCCTAGCTG